AGTAATGGTGCACACCTGTAGCTACAGGTGAGACGCATCAGTGCTGGGTGGCACCAGTTACAGGATTTTAAGAAGAATGGATTTTCGTACGCGTGCAAGGCCGCATTTTAAATTCCCAGAAGATCTGAAACATTTCACTTGACCTGTCGGACAAACCAAATCTTTTACCTTTACTCTTCTTCCTGTCGAATAGTTTCAAACCCAGATTTAGTCTGAATTAACTAATCCATTTGGTCTAACTAGCCTAAATTCCTAGACTTGAATACTAGACGTCATTATAGATCATACCACCTCTAATCGGCGTATTCTTCTCTGTTCTTACTTCAATTTTTAATCAAACTATAGAAATGAGAGTATTTGTTGTTTTTAATCTTTAATTTTAGGCTCAGATCAAAAATGTGAACGATGGGCCACAGGACTTCACGTGCTTTTAATACTTAATCGACCAACTGTGAATTCAGCCCTTGCACAATTTTGATATAACTTTCAAAGTAGAGGCAGACGCTGTGTTTGTGCTCAGACCAGGAAACATAAAACACACACATTTAAAAACACGAGTTAGGGTTTGTAGTCCAGAAGAGGTGTGGTGAAGAAGCAGGTGTGGTTCACAGAAGATGAAAAATATTGCATCAGAAGAAATACAGAATAATTTAGTCGACTAAAATTAAAAAGAATTTTGTTAAAGGACTAAAACTAAATAAAAATGAATGCTGGCGGTGACCGCAGGGTGCAGGTAGAGGAAAAGCTGGACAGTACCAGCTCAGTGGCCTGGTGGTAGAGTGTCCGCCCTGGGACTGGGAGATCGCAGTTCAAATCCCGTCCCGGTCAGGTCATACCAAAGACTTTATAAAAATGGGGCCCAATGCCTCCCTGCTTGACAGTCAGCTATAAGGGGTCGGATTGGGGGGGTTAAACCACCAAATAGTTCCCGAGCGCGGCTGTGTCTGCAGCTCACTGCTCCCCATGGGGATGGGACCACACCACCAGCGGTGGGCTGGGAAGAAAAATCAGCCCTGACCATTGGTCCTCAGAGCGGCGGGGATGCTCCCAGACTCGCCTGGCCCACCAAACGTGTCGGCCCAAGCTGGGCCAGTGGCCAACTTGGCTAAGTGGCTCTTCGGGACAGTACCAGAATGCCAGATAGGCCACCGCTGCAGTGTGTGTGACATCTATGGGACTGTCATTTTCAACTTTACTGGAAAAGAGGAATGAAGATTGGTCGCAGCAAGATAGATCAGGTGTGTAAATGAGAAGGACACAAGTGGAACGGTGATGTTGGAGGGAGCAGAAATAAAGAAGGGAGAGGGCTTTAGGTACTTAGGGTCTAAGGTCCGACGCTACAGAGTAGGGCTGCACGATATTAGGAAAACCTGTGATAAGCAATAACAGTGATTAATATTGCGATGATGATATTACTTTGCGACAAATAAAAACTTAACTCAGGAACAAAAATAATCAAAAACAAAGAAATTTAAAAATTAAAAAGAAAATGAGCAAGAAAAGGCAATCAGTGGATCCCAGGAATGCAGAATCAACAGAAAGAGCAGAAGAACGCTAACTCAGGTGTTTGCTAACCTCGGGGGCGGGCATCTAACCCATGAGAACCCACCCAATTGGCCAAATGGGTGAGGAGCTCTATTTGATTTGTTAAAAAGCATCATGCTTCCATTTGATTGACAGAATGCATCATGTGTGGCAAACATCTGAGCTGACCATTCATTGCGATATTTATCTGTTCTTTGCGATATGCATATTGCGCACGCTGATATCGCGATAACGATACATTTGCGATATATTGTGCAGCCCTACTACAGTGTTTGGAAAAAAGGTGAAGAAGTGCATGAAGCAGGTTGGAATGGGTGGAGAAAAGTGTCGAGTGTGATAAAATGGTTTCAAGTGTAGAAGACCAGCCATGCTGTCTGCTGTAGAGACGGCGTCCATAAAGAAAAGACGAGAGACAGAACTGAAGGTTGCAGAGCTGAAGATGTTGAGGCTCTCTTTGGGAATGACGAGGATGGATAGCAGGAATGAGTCCATCAGAGGAACATCTGTTAGATGTTTAGGAGATAAAGTCAGAGAGGTCAGACTGAGATGGTTTGGACATGTCCAGAGAAGAGGCAATGATGACGTAGGTACAAGGATGCTGAGGTTGGAGTCACCGGGCAGGAGGCTGAGAGGAAGACCAAAAAGGAAATGTATAGATGCAGCCAAAGAGGACCTGAATGTAGCTAGTGTGAGGACAGAGGATGCAGGAAATAGGACTACATGGAGACAGATGATTCGCTGTAGAGACTCCTGAAGGGAAAAGCCCAGAGAGAAAAAAGAAGAAGCCCATGGAGCTCAGCAAAACCCACTTGTTTTTAGATGAATGGTCACTGTCAGAAGGAGAGCTTGTGTATGTATTGTTCTTGCTCCATTGTCCTCTGAATAATAGGATACACTCAGTGAAGGTGCCCATGGTTGTTATTTAAGCCCTTTTCTCTGTGGCCTCAATTTGGCTGATCCCATCATTACTCTAACCGCCACTGAAAAGGCCGTGCTAATTAACTCTGGAGCAGATGCCGATTTGAGGGGATCTCCTGCAGAAAGACTGAAGCTATAGTTACCTGGATGGTTATCACTAGGGATGTCCCATTCCGATATCGATTCAATTCAATTAAATTTTATTTATAAAGCGCCAAATCATGACAAGAGTTGTCTCAAGGCACTTCACATAATAAACATTCCAATTCAGGTCAGTTCATTAAGCCAATCAGAAATAATGTTTCCTATATAAGGAACCCAGCAAATTGCATCAAGTCACTGACTCGTATCAGTGACTATACAGCAATCCTCATACTAAGCAAGCATAACGCGACAGTGGAGAGGAAAACCCCCTTTTAACAGGAAGAAACCTCCAGAGAATCCTGGCTCAGTATAAGCAGCCATCCTCCACGACTCACTGGGGATCGAGAAGACAGAGCAGACAGGCGCACACACACACACACACACACACACACACACACACACACACACACGCGCACACACACACACACACACACACACACACACACACACACACACACACACACACACACACACACACACACACACACACACACAGCAATGTGTCTATAGTTATATTGTGATGTCTTAGTAAATATTGTATTTGGTGAAAGATAAACTTTATTGTATTTATCCTAGTGGATCTATAATTAAACAGATAAACTAGTAGTAGCACATCAACGTCAAGGAAAGCAAAAAGTTATTATCAGGAGAGGGAGAATGTTTAAGTGGTTAGCAGCAGTGTGCTAGACGATGGCCCCCTCCACGAGGCCACCACAGCTCAGCAGAACATCGTTGTAGCTTCTTCTGGGGAGAAAAACACTTAGAGAGAAAATAAAGTTAACAGCTGAAATAGCAGGAAATAATACAGTTAAAGAGCAGATTGTAGAAGAAAGCAGTAGAGTGTGGAAAGTGGTCAGTGTGTCCTCCAGCAGTCTAAGCCTATAGCAGCATAACTACAGAGATAACTCTGGATAATCTATCCTATTTAGATGGAGGCATGTTGGAGGCAGGGCAAGGGAGAGCCGTCTTTACCGACTGTACACTCCACCTCCCTCTACTCCCCCACTTGTCCAGATCTAGGCTAACATCAGATTTTAACCATAGACCCTATCAAATAAAAATATTTTAAGCCTAGTCTTAAAAGTAGACAAGGTGTCTGCCTCACGGACTAAAGCTGGGAGCGGGTTCCACAAGAGAGGAGCCTGATAGCTAAAAGATCTGCCTCCCATCCTAATTTTAGATATTCTGGGAACCACCAGTAGACCTGCAGTCTGAGAGCGAAGTGCTCGGTTAGGAACATATGGAACAATCAGATCACTGATGTATGATGGAGCTTGATTATTAAGAGCTTTATATGTGAGAAGAAGGATCTTAAAATCTATTCTGAATTTAACAGGTAGCCAATGTAGGGAAGCTAAGACAGGAGAGATATGATCTCTCTTTTTAATTCTCATCAGAACTCTAGCTGCAGCATTTTGGACAAGCTGAAGACTTTTAACTACATTCTGTGGACTTCCTGAGAGTAATGAATTACAGTAATCCAGTCTTGATGTAATAAATGCATGAACTAGTTTTTCAGCATCACTCCTGGAAAGGATGCTTCTAATCTTAGCAATATTCCAAAGGTGGAAAAAGAAAATCCTACAAACCGATATCGGACGTAATCCCAAAAACACTGTATCGGATTATATCGGACTGCATCAAAACTCTCAGATGTAAGCAGTCCATTAAGTTTCACATTTTTGCAACCAATGGTTAAAAAATTTTTTCATTTTTTTCATACTTAATAATATTGGCTCTTCTTCTCTGATTAACATCACTTGATCAAGCCTTTCAAACATTCCACACTACAAAACAGGTAAAAGTAAGTTTGATTTGTGCTGATATCGTATCGGATTGATATTGGTATTGGTCAATACTGAAGGCTGCAATATTGGTATCGTATCGGAAGTGAAAAAGTTGTATCAGGACACCCCTAGTGATCACCTGTGCACATTTTCTTCCCCCGCCTCAACTTCTCAGATCAACGCTCAGAGACAAAAGTGTTCCTTTTATTGGGCTTTCGACCGCACCCAGTGACGTTGGCCCACCCATGTCTCCTTAGACATGGGTGGGCCAACTGTAGATGGGATCACAAGATCTGTCCTTTCATGGAAACATGACTGTGTACAGTCTATCTATCACAAATGGTACCGTTTTTCCCCAGACAACTAGAGACTTCATCGTCTTCAGTAAATCAAAGGCCCATTTGATCAGGGCATAAAATAGAAAGTAATGTTTTGATATTTGTTTGTCAACTGAAAACAAATCACGCCCTGATTGTTTTGGAACGCATCTCTAATCCTGAGTATCTGGCCAGTTTTACTTTGCCACCCAGCACTGCCCGACTCTGTCCAGCTCAGCTCTGATGGGTGAAATGGTGATGTATGGAGAGTCAGGAGGGTCATACTAACGTGGGCCGTGAGGCAAAGACACAACAGCAAAGATGCTGTCGCAGGCTGCAGAGTAAAGAGAAAAAGGTGAGGAGGAGGAGGAGCCTGTCACAGGTTTTGTTCCAGCTCAGGTGAGGAGAGATGAAGGTTAGTGTGACACTCAGGATCAGTATGTCAGCTGACCCGTGCTACAGAGCAGACTGCCAGCCTAAGGCGAAACGAGTAGTGGGTTACTAACTAGAAGGTTGGTGGTTTGTTCCCAGCATCACCACCACATGTTGGGGCGAAACGCTGAACCAAACGTAGCCTCTTTGATCTGTGAACTGGGATATGAATCCCAGTTTATGGTTCTCCGTCAGCACGTTTGCACTCACACTTATCGAAGACAACATTTTCTTTTATGCTTCTCCTGTTGTGTGTCGGTGTTGTGAAGCAACTCTCCGCAAGGACACCAGAGGGCGTAGCGCTTCTCTGGGGTATCCCGCCATCGTTGCAGTCAATTCTCTTTTATTTACTAACGAGTGTTTTCATTGAGTTTAAGCATTTCAGAGGCTTTAACACAAACTAACTTGTCCTTTATTCTCCAACTCTTCAAGCACTCACCACCTCTAAACCCAGGTTTCCCATCATTTCCTGACACAAATAAAAGGTTTGCTGCATTTCTTTGTACTCCTTCAGTCACAGGTGTCATCCTCTGACATTTTCCGTGAGGCGTTCTTCAATCTGCTCCTTGTCTGCCGTTAGATAGCTTCGGCTATCGTTTTATTTTTTGAGGGGGAACTGAGGCGCTGTAGATGAAGTTAAAGGAAGCAGCATCCTGACCACCACAGGCTTGCGGTCTCTAGTTGCCGTCGAAGGGCCCTACTCCGTCCGTCCTTGCGTGGTTTTAGGAGAGCCCTTGTGACTACAAATAATGGCGTTGTGTGTCATGGCACCTCCACATATGGAGAGGTATATACTAGGCTTCGGCCATTTCCAATATTGGAATTTCTGGGTAATTTCACTGGACCTTCACGGTGCGAAAGCCGGCCTGAAAGGACCAACAGGCTACCTTCATTGGGTATGTTTTTTGAACAGGTCTGATAAGAGTTGCTGAGTCGGACTTGTGGTTGAGTCATGCTGATTGGTTGTAACTTAGGGGGAAAATATAACAGCAGACTTCAATTGTTGTTGTAAAATTGAAAGAGGAAAACAGAATAAGTATCATTTTATACTGTTTTAAATTTGCCACTCATGAACCCCAAATGCCCAAAAATTTGGTATTTTTGTTGTTAATGACCTTGGTAACCTTTAGGAGCTGATCAATGATGTCTCTCGCTGCCAAAAGTCCTTAAAGAGCCAATTCTGTGTTGAGACACAACGGCTGAGCGAACCGAACCGTCGTATTTTCCCCGTTACCTTTCCTCTTCCCAGAAATCCTTTAGTGGAAAAGCAGATCTAAAGTAAAGTGGTTGATTAGAAAACTTAAGGAGTGGAAAACTTTATTAAAATGATGTCTTCAGTCTGACCGTGTTCTGGTTTTGCCAGTTTATCACTTTTGTGTTTCTCAATCAATCAATCAACTTTATTTATATAGCACTTAATCCTACGATACACGCAACTCAAAGTGCTTAACAAATTAAAAAGGCCCCACATTCCCTCCCATCCCCGGAATTTTAAAAACAGTCTGACAATAAAAACCCTTCACAACACTCATCCTCCGGCACACACGCACGCATGCACACACACACACACACACACACACACACCCCATTGAAAAAACCCAATTGACTGAGATCAGATGAGCCAGACCAGCTAAGGATAAGGAAACGCCATCAGGGGAGCCATCTGCCCCAACAGCAGCAGATCCACAGCAGCAGCCGAGGCACCGACACAGGGCGGCCAGGGCAGGGAGGGCAGAGACGACCCCCACCTCCACCCAGGCACACCTGGAAAGCACCCAGGCCGCCACAGCCGACCACCGCCGCCGGGGCAGAGGGCTCCCACAGAGGAAACACTGTAAAAAAGGTTAAATTAAGGTTAAAATATAAAATCAAATAAGCTAAAATGAGAATTGTAACATAAAAAGTTCTATAGATATTAAAATAATGTTGATCATAAATCTATGGTAAAAATAAAAACTCTGTTTAAAAAGCACGTATAAAGAAAGAATACATAAAATAAATCTAATAAATAAATAAATAACCTAATTAATTAATTTAAAAAGAGATAGTATTCAGACCGTCTGACTCTCCCTGAAGCTGAAATATAAAATGTATATCAGCCTGTCATCATTTAGTGGGTTAAGGTTAAAACTGTGTAGGCGGAGCTAAAGTCTGTAGTGGATAGCATCTACACATGCTGGCATTTTGCCCAGAGCAACAGTTTTTTTGTCCATGTTTTATCTTTTAGAAGTGATACCATCATTATTTACTATCTGAATGTGTTTTCCCTCCTAAACCAACAAGAAAATAAGAATGAAATGTTTTCATGATCCACATCCCAACAAGAAAATACTCCAGGGACAAATCAGGAGTTCAACTATGGAAATAAATCAAAGCACAGAAAAACAGAATAATGACCATCTCAGTGACACCGCAAAAGCATATGACTAAACCGGGACTAGTTAGAAAAAACTAAATTATACTGAGGACGAGGCGACAAATGAAACCAACTCTAAAATAGCACATTTTTAGTGCTAAAACAACAAAATAATTATTAAGGAAGCGTGTGGCTGTTTTAATTCTGTCAAAAATGTGCCTTTATAAAAAACTCTTACTGTTTCATTGACAAATGGAACCTTACATATCATACGTGACCCTTAAACCAGTTAACGTGTAAAATGTTTGGACTTGGTCTGATTTACTCAACAACAGCTCATCCCGAGCGCCCTTTTTCTCTGAGAAGGGGGCGTGGCTGTATGAGAGGTAGGGAAGTGATGCAAAATTGCTGCAATGTGTTAATGAGAGGGTGTGGTCAGAGTCCGTTACTGATCATAGGGCGGGGCTAGAGTCTGGAGCGGATCAGTGGGTGTGGTTAGTGTGAGTCTTACTTGAATGGAAGGGGCTGCTGGGTCCCTGCGGCGAGTCAAACACACTCCCTACATCTGTGGTGCTGGAGGCAGCGGAGGAAGGGGGCGGAGTCAGAGGTGTGCGGGGGGAGTTTGGGGCAGAGATGGCCCCCCCATCGGCCTCGCTGTCTGGGATGCGGCTGTAGCTGATCTTCCTGGGCTCATTCTGCAGAGGGGTTGGATGGCGCATGGTGCCGGGCCTTGCTGAGGTTGGACGAATCCCCGGGGACTTCAGAGGACAGGTGTACTTCTTTACCTGAGCCATAAATGAGTGTCCATCAGGAACATGGTCCAGTCACAGAAGGTGTTGATTCTTGCAGCCATCTTAGTTTTAGTCTTATTCTTTTGGACAAAACAATCTTTCTAACTTTATTGATAATCACTATTACACATATAGTGGATGTATTGATGCAGATCATTCAGTAGATGTTCACAAAAGAACTTCATGACTTTCCCTCCACACCAGAATGAACACTGGGGAGAAAACATAGTGGGATGCAAACGTTTGGACAGACTTGTTAATCTACGTGTTTTTAATCGTTGGTTGTTACGATAAAACACTTCACTTAAATACGACATATAGGGGGCACACAGTGATATTTGAGAAGTGAAACAAAGTTTAAAGGATTTACAGAAAGTGTGCAATAATTGTTTAAACAAAATTAGGCAGGTGCACAAATTTGGGCACCACAAAAAAAAAAAGAAAGAGATGAACTCTGTATTTAGTGGATCCTCCTTTTGCAGAAATTACAGCCTCCATGCTTCCTACAGCTTCCAATGAGAGTCTGTCTGAAGGTATTTAGACCATTCTTCTTTACAAAACATCTCTAGTTCATTCAGGTTTGATGGCTTCTGAGCACAGACCGCTCTCGCTAACTCACACCACAGATTTTTAATATTATTCAGGTCTGGGGACTGAGATCAACATTCCACAATGTTCTACTTGTTCCTCTGCATGAATGCCTTAGTAGATGTTGTCTTGTTGAAGTGCAGCTTCAGCTTTGTCACTGATTCCTGGACACTGGTCTCCAGAATCTGCTGGTATCGAGTGGAAGCCATGTGTCCCTCAACTTTAACAAGATTCCCAGTCCCTGCACTGGCCACACAGCCCCACATCATGATGGAACCACCACCATGTTTTAAGGCAGGTAGCAGGTGTTTATCCTGGAATGCTGTGTTCCTTTTCCTCCATGTTATGTCCAAACAGTCCAACAGTCCACAGCACCTTATTCCAAAATGAAGCTGATTGGTCCAAATGTGCTTTAGCGCACCTCAAGCCGCTCTGTTTGTGCAGTGGGCGGTGAAACGGCTTCCCCTGCATCACTCTCACACGCAGCATCTCCTTGTGTAAAGTACGCTGAACAGTTGATGATGCAGCAAGATGATGTTGTAGGTCTTTGGTGCTGGTCTGTGGGTTGACTCCGACTCTTCTCATCATTCTGTTTATCTGAGATCTTTCTTGGTCTGCCACTTGGAGCCTTAACGTGAACTGTGCCTGTGCTCTTCCATTTCCTCAGTTTGTTCCTAACTGTGGAAACAGACAGCTGAAATCTCTGAGACAGCGTTCTGTACCCGTCCCCTAAACCACGATGGCGAACAATCGCTGTTTTCAGGTCGTCGGAGTTGCTTTAGACCTCCATGTTGCTTGCTCATCAGAGAACATTCAAAGAGGAGAGAAACTTACAACTGGTCGGATTCACCTGTGTGTGGAGGTCAAGGGTCACGGAGCTTACCAAAACTATTCTGAGTTCCAATAATTAGTTCTAAATATTTTGGAATGAATAAAATAACAACAAATGCACCTGCCTAAATTTGTTTAAACAATTATTGCACTTTCTGCAAATCTTATAAACTTTGTCTCACTGTGTGTGTCTCTTATATGATATATTTACCTGAGAATTTCTCATAACCGACGATTTACACAGGAAGATTAACAAGGCTGCCCAAACATTTGTATCCCAATTTAAATAACATTTAAATAAAACATGTCTGTTGTTGGATTATTAATCATTTGTTGAGTTAGCAGACCTCCAACTTGGCATCTTTAAATGTATAATGTTAAACCCCTCCTTCCGTTAAAAGTCCACCTGCTTAAATGCAGTAATGGTTTTCCACAGCCTGCAGTGAGTCATCACGAGCCTGCAGCATTTATGTAAATAATCCGGTTCTGCACAGTGATGTGAATGCGTTCTCTCTCGGGTGGGGTGTCTTGTATCTGCACCCACAGCTGCATTTAAATCCTTCTAAACATTTAAATGTGACGCAGGGCTTTTAATAATATGATGTTGGTTTTTAAAAAAGCAGGAATGACCCGTTATGAGGAACCAAAGAGGAGAATAAATCATCTCGACACACAGACTTTAAAACTTTCATCTTCAACGTGTTCCGATAAAACATGTAAAAACTGCCTTTTCTTCCATTTATCTGCCCAAAAACATCACGCTTTCAGGAAGCACACGGATAAGAAACGTGTTAATATTATGAATATATTTAAAAGTAGCATCGATGCTCATATTTCCAATTGTTTACTTCCTCAATAAGTGGCGGTTGAGCGATGTGCGTTCCCACAACAGAAAAGCACTCTTCGCTTAGTCTGCAGGACCCACCATCGAGCAGCAGCGGAGCTCATTCTGCTCAGCCAAGATGAGCGCCGTTATCTTTTCGCTTTTGTAGGACAGGCTGTAATGTGTATTTTTAGTAGGGCTGAATGATTTTGGAAAATAATCTAATTGCAATTTAATTCACAATTATTTTCTCAAGGGGCTTTTCTCATTTTTCAACTAACGGAAGCAAAAAAAAAAGACCTATGTAACTTGTACTGAATATAAACTAGTTCATGTATCTACATTTATCAACAAGTTTATTTGTCTACACATACACGATCACAAGTAAAGACAACATCTTGTATTTGAAGGTGCGATGCTTTGCAGCCAGGAGCACGTCCCTTGAAGGAGAATAGGTATTAGCATCAACTGTGAAAATTTATTTGCAGGAAAGAAGTGTGTCCCTTTTATTGAAGTCTTTTGTGTTTAGTTTTTGACGTCTTGTCCTTGTCCATGCAAAGCTTCCGTAGTTTAGTTACGTTCACAGCTGCTAGCCAAAACTCAGTGGAGTTGAAGTACAGTTTTCTAGCTTTACTAAAATATCTGTCTGTACTTATTTGATTAATGACAGTTTTTACATTTTATTAGACTCCAGATGTAATAATTTGGCACGTTCCTAATTCGTAATTTCTAAGAAACTATTCGGCGACATTAGCATTAGCATCCCTATGGGTTTTTCAATGTATATTAGCATTGCGCTAACCACTCGCTGCCAGTCAAATTGCAGCCTTTGCGATTAGAAAATCTCTTTTTGTCACATCAAAATTTAATTACATATGCAACTAATCGTTCAGCCCTAATTTTTAGCATAATTTTCGTCCACTATCATCCACGAAAACTCCCACCTACTCTCGTCGTGTTTAAGCTACCGAAGAGCTATTTAGCTCGTCAGCATCGTTTTCGTTATGAGAACAAGGGCCGTCAACGAAAACATCACTGGGTCACATATTATTCAATATACGGTTACCACTACATGGTAAATGGTAAATGGCCTGTATTTGATATAGCGCCTTCTAGAGTTCTTGAAACCCCCCAAGGCGCTTTACAACACAATCAGTCATTCACCCATTCACACACACATTCACACACTGGTGGGGATGAGCTACGTGTAGCCACAGCTGCCCTGGGGCGCACTGACAGAGGCGAGGCTGCCGAGCACTGGCGCCACATCACTTACAAATCGAGGTAATGATCGGGTGTTTCGAGGTTCAATCTCCAAAGACTTGTTGAAGAGGTGATCAGCAAAGTCCTTCTCTGAGAGGTCCTCCATTGGGTTTAGGTTCTCAAAGAACTTCTGCTCCACAAACACAAAGCAAATCTGGCTTCGCAAAAGGTTCTCAACTCCCATGTTTCCCTGATAAGGTACATCAGCACTGACTTACCCTGATAGAGCTCTCCACTCTCAGGCAGTACGGCTGGTTTTGGTACTGTTGGATCTCTCCAGTGATCTCAGCCACTTTCCGCCTCTTGCTGAAGTTGATGAGGTCTTTTCCGTGTCTGCGTAGGAAGTCGGGGTTTCCCTCTTCTGTCTTCAGGATGTTGGTCAGGTAGATTCCTGCAACGCACAGTCATTAGTATACAGGTTTGATGGTGTTTGGCCACCTCGGACAGGTGAGTCGAGCCATACCAAAGAAAGGAACACAAGGGGGGTTGATGGAGCGCAGTTTAGCCAAATACTTCTTGTAGTGATCTTCACTCAGCTCATGAGCCTCTTCCAGGATTTTTCTTTGTCGACTTGGAATTTGCTGAAAACAAAAGCACACCATACCCAGGTATTTTAAATATTTGCATTGAAATATTTGCTAAAAAGGTTTGGTGACTGATAGTTATGTGGCAACCAATCCCCTCTTAGTCACGACTCTCCAAGGTCAAAGGTCGTTTTAACATTTGTTTACTGGTTTATTCTTAAAGGGGCATTATGGAAGTTTGACAGCCAAAACATGTATAGAAATAATAAACGTCTTCTTCATACATTCTCCTGCAATGCCCTGGTCCTGTAGAATGAGCCCTGGCATGTTTACTGTGATTGCCTGTTTTTCTGTAAAATCACAGAAAAAGAGAGATGCTCGGGTCGAGCAGGCTGCTTCATGCGCGTTCACGCTCAGGCATCGCCCGTAGCATTTGCTATCCGTAGCTTTAGCAGCAGAGAGAGAGGCAGTGCCACTTTGTCGCTGTTCCTAATGCCTAGTGACAAAGCTAGCTACATTTCTGAGGACCCTTAGCTACTTTCTGTAGAACTTTCTTCTAGATGTTTCCTGCTAATTAGCAACAAAATAGCCATTTTTGCTCCGAACCGTTCTTTGGATTGATGTTGTTTCAGCTGTCATCAACAATATAAATGTTACAGATACAAAGGACGTCACTGGCGCTGTAGCTCACTTATTAAGATGTCGGATTTTTGTGCAAAAGACCTGGGTTAGAGTCTGGATGTGAACATAGTTTATTTAGAGTTTCTTTTTTACATTAATGGTATATTTTTTTACAGTAAGATGCCCAAATTTTTATTTGAGACTCGCCGAACGGCATTGAATTCACAGATAAAAAAGATGTGGGTTCAACTTTCATTTTGGAACAATCTTTCAAGCAAGGGAAGGGAATGATCTGAGCATGCAGGAGGACTGACCCATCATAAACCTTTGTCGGCTGTGCTGAAGAGAAAGGTACAGAACCACATTATTTAATTAATTAGCTGCACGTTCTCCTGTCCTCTGTCCTCCGGGCCACACACACACACACACACACACACACACACACACACACACACACACACACACGGGACTGATTTCGTTAAGGAGTGTGCACGTACAGCATGCGCGCCTCGTGCACGAGCCTACTATTGAAGCTGCCGTTATGCTTTTGGCCCGGAGGGCAATCGCGAGCATAAGTCCCTTTAAAATTGTGCAATCTAGCCACCTCAGTGGCCTAGTGGTAGAGTGTCCGCCCTGAGACTGGGAGATCAGGGTTCGATTCCTGGTCGGGTCATACCAAAGACTTAAAAAATGGGACCCAATGCCTCCCTGCTTGACACTCATCATTAAGGGGTTGGATTGGGGGGTTAAACCACCAAATGGTTCCCGAGCGTGGCTGTGTCTGCAACTCACCACTCCCCCAGGGGATGGGTCAAATGCGGAGAACAAATTTCGCACACACATCAGTGTGTGTGACAACTGATGGGACTTGAACTATCTACCAGAGTTAGTTAAGAGGGACCACTTTCAAATAATCTCCTTTTTATAGCGAGGTAGCGACAGCAACCAGTTCATTTGAGGCTCGGGTCCTCCCGATGCAGCGATGACCTGTGCTTATTGGTACACGATTTTCTTAAATACCTGTTTTACCCATGACACTAGTATGACCATGGTGTCGGGGTGACCGGTGGGATACGTTACAGATAGTTTAACGCGGTGTAAACACGCCCCAAATCTAATTCATGCAGGGCTTTGGATTATCTTTATCTCAATGCCGTTAAGTTTATTCCAGGAGATTTTCATTACTATCCTTGGTAAAAGTGCTTACGGTTATCATTACCTTTGCTTTATTTAGACCAGTGCTGTGGAGACCGCTCTTCCTTGCTCCCACCACTAGGGGCATCTGACCACAATGTGGTCTCTTTTTGACCTATTAATCAGACACTCCTGGAGAAGGTCTAGACATGATCCAACTACATAACAGTACCAGCGCGTCTCTGCAGGGACGTCCTGAGTGAACAACCTGGGATGTTTTTAATTCATGAACAGGTACAAGCGAAACGACTGTCACCAGACAGACAGATGTAGAAACTACAACCCAAGCATGTTTTGTCATGTTTTAGTCAGCCTCTTGTTTTTGTCATACGAATAAGGGCATCAACAGAATTATTCAGTCATTGTTGACAAAAAAACAACAATGATTAGTAGAAGCTAACTGTTAGCATTAGCAACTCCGCCACACAGCAGAACTCCTTCAGGCTTGTGTTATCTATGGAGATAAAACATCAATATTGCAGCAGTAGAGTCATGTTGTCGTTAGCCAATCAGAGTCAAGATGTCCGAATATCAGGAAATAAGGTTCCAAATCCTGCCACGTTCTGCTCACCTCTCCTCCAACTAAATTCTTCCTGACACAGGAGAGCAAGAGGATTGTTCCCCACAGAGAAAGACTCACAAGGCGTTCATTTATAGTAAAAACCACCGCTAATGTTTTGAACAAGTTCTCCTTTCAGAGCTGCAGCAGATCTGCTTCAGATTTCATAAAATCTACAAAGGAGCTGCTCAGCGGGACATTCAGATCTGGACTGCTAGTTCACTTACGTTCACTACGACTGAACCATGCATTAGCCCTTTTTACAAGACACACCATGCTGGCTAATCGGCGTAATATTACCACAGTGGTATGTCTATAAACGCGCCATGCCGGCATGGCGTTACACGAATTTTGCGGCATTCGTTCCGCCTGGCTTGGTAGTAATATTGCGGTAACGGTCTGTCGTATGCGCCCTGGCGCAACAGAGGCAGATGCCATGATGACGTGGGGAGTTACTGCTAAGCTCCGGCTGGCAAATGTATTGAAAATGAAAGTAAACACGGGCAACAAGGTTTGCTTTTGAACAAAATCAGCTGAGATGGCAGACTGGAGCGCCGCGGAGCTCCACGAGCCTCTCTGTTAGAGCTGAAGCTCAGACCACCAGAGACTGCACAGGGACTGATGGGGACAGACACCTTCAGGAGCTGCTTGTTAAAAAAAACTTAACGATCACGGCTTCAATCGCAATAAAAAGCAAGTCATGTCCAAGATAAATGGAAGTCTGCGGCAGCGCAGAGACCGGCCCCATACCCCCTTTATGCCGCCATCACCTAATCGTTTATAAAATTACCACGATTGCGCCACATTACCGCCACGGTCTGATCTCATAAACGACCTTTACCCTCCCCAGGGAGCCGCGGAAAATCCCGTTAGCAAACGCTCTGGTCCTGAAAAAGCAGCTATTGTTACCTCAAAGGTGTGATCCAGTCTATAGACAGGTGAGGAGTTCATGGCGCTGACAACTTCCAGAACACCATTAAAGTTATTGAGTTCCTGAAAAACCTGCAAGATCTCAATGATCCGACAAACAACGGCGACTCGTTCCTCCAGATTCTCCGTTTCGATGATACACCTGCGGAGAGAGCGGCAGGCAAGGTGAGGCTCGTACAGCTCCAGGGCGGCGTGTTCGGTCACACCAGAGCGACGTCTTACTTCTCAAACCAAAGGGTCAGGTTGGTGGTGTGTCGGATCATCCTCAGCAGGTTAGGAGAGTGAATCTCTTTGTCCTCTTTGGTCCAGACGCTGCCGACAAGCTCTGAAGGCTGCACCGCCCTGCAGACCAAGGTCAGAGGTCAGACAGCTTTGCAAACTTGCGGCCAGGTGTGTGATCTCTGTGGAGGCTACGTTACCTGAAAAAGTCTGACTCCAGCAGAGTGAGCTGGCGGGCTATTTCAATCGGATGCAGCGTCATGAGGTCAAACTGCTCCGTGTTTCCTGGTCTACAGATGTGCCACTCAATGGGGGGAGGGGAGTTCTGAAAGGTGATGCTGTGACTGGGCAAGCTCACCTGAACCTGCTTCTTCCTCAGGATGATCTTGGTGATAGACTCCACCCACTTCCTCATTGCTTTACCTGTAACAAGAGGCATATTTACATAAGACACATAGAATAGTGCCTGAAACAAATCAGTGAATGAAGAAGCTTTTTTATCAGGAAGTGTTCATCAATGTTTACACCAGGAATCACTGGGAATGGAGCTGGCAGACGTGGATCTGACCATTCCCGCCCCGTTGGAGGTTAGGGTTAGAGTTTTAAGGACACATTTAGCTTATTGCTTAGTGATGCGTTCCCCCTCCAGCTTGAAAACTCTGATTTTAAAATGGTAAATGGCCTGTATTTGATACAGCGCCTTCTAGAGTCCTGGAACCCCCCAAGGCGCTTTACAACACAATCAGTCATTCACACATTCACACACTGGTGGGGATGAGCTACGATGTAGCCACAGCTGCCCTGGGGCGCACTGACAGAGGCGAGGCTGCCGAGCACAGGCGCCACCGGTCCCTCCGACCACCACCAGCAGGCAAGGTGGGTTAAGTGTCTTGCTCAAGGACACAACGACAGCGACAGACTGAGCGGGGCTCGAACCTGCAACCTTCCGATTACGGGGCGAGCTCTTAACTCCTGTGCCACTGTTGCCCAGTTGTGCATTACAAACTAAGATGAATTAAAGTGTATTTCCTATTTTTAAACCCATATATCCAAAGCAGAGTCGTCTAAACCAATAAACAAGATAAAAATACTTTTTATTTATTTATTTATTTATTTTACAAAAAAAGCAGGAAGAAGCAAATTCCCATCCAGGCCTGGAGTTTCTGTGCCTGATTGTCTGAGCCCATCTCCTTTCTTTGTGGAAAGATGAATATAATCAACTAACTGAAAAAAACTCTGCTCTCTGCTTTCTGTGGGCGGTCCCAGGCCAAGGTGGGCGGGGCCACAAATCAAAATTTTCCATGCGACATAAAAGGAACGTGAGCATTTTCCCGCCTATTTCCTTTTTGCAGCTAATGGTTGGATAACATTTTTATTCATCATGCATAACAAACTCAGCGTGACCGATCGCATTTATGAAAAAACAAGTAATGCACGGTTTCTATGGAAACCAGACCTTTAAGGAGAGGCACTTTGAAAATGCGCCCTTGTCTGAGCTAAATTAGCATAAAAAGTGATGTAAACAAACAGGTGATGTCAACCCCTGAGCATCTAAGCCTCGGTGAAGATAAAGTTAAAGAATTTGAAAGGAAATAAATTTTGGGTAACTGTCGAAGCTAAAAAAAATGAACAGGAAGTCAGCCTAAAGAACCAGACATGGGGGTCTGAACACTGAAGAGCCTGGGCCAAGTACTGCCACGTGTTCCCAACCTCGTTCCCGGCAGCATACAAGTCAGGACCCAATCCCCAAGGCCCCGCCTAGATCCCCACACCAAGTCGGCCGCCCCCACACCCTGAGCACCCAGGCCCCCACCAAGATCCACCCAGGGGCAATGCAGCCACCAGGACTTGGTCACATCTGAGCCCTGGGGGGCAGGGGCACCTCCAGAAAATTTTGATTGGGGTGGCCAGATGGGGTCAATGAAATTTTCAAGTGGTGCTCGCTGCAGAACCACAAAGGTGGAGCTGCACCAGAAGGTGGAGCTGCACCAGAGTCAGCCCCGCCCATTCCAGAGTCAGCCCCGTCCATTCCATCAGAGTCAGTACAATTCCTTCCAGTTGTCAGACTTGATAGCATTCTGGAACCAAAGAGGGTTTTATAGCTAAAAAATACAAGATTGAGGACGGAGGTGAGAAGTTAACTGAACAGTTTTTGTAAAGGTTCCATATAATTAAAAATCTAACTTTTGGAACTTTTTATCATGTTATATTGTCATTTCCTCATAAGAAACACGCCAAAGCCATTTTTGGCCTCATTCATGCATTTTCCTCCCATCTCAGCTTCAATTTGGTCTCCTCCCCTGAAGTGGGTCTGGTCTTGGTTCTCAAATCTGGATATTCTGTGAATTTTCTGACAAATTATTTCTGAAATGACTTCTACTGAGACACCGCCAATAAACCATACATCCCATCTCCAAAGACACACTGGATAGGACAATTACATGTTACGCCAATACTTCACATCAGATGTGGTGGGGTAGAGGCTATGGAGGCAGGTTTGCATGCAGTTTTGCGCAGGTTCGACTCCCAGTGGCAGAAATCTTAGGTAGATTACAAGCCCTTTTCTTAATTTCTAGCTACACTTGCCAGTACTGTTTACAACAATTTACTGGTATACCGTTTACAATATAATGACTAATGTGTTTATTTATTTATTCGTTTATTTAGCCATTGTGAGTCCATTTGTGAGCAGAGTTTCAACTAAAATGCTGTTTAGGAACGACCAAATTCAAAGAACTTTTAGAGACATAAATATTTAGCTGAAAATAAACATTACAACTAAAATATAAACAAATTCAATGTTTCAGCTGGCTAAATAGATTGACGCCAACATCACCGAGAATCGAACCAGCATCTGCTGAGGGGGAAGCAAAACTTGCTTCAGATGATCTTACCACTGGACTACCAGAGCACATATAACAATCACCCATGCTGTTGCAGCACATTATTGTTAGAGCGGCTGTGGGCAGATATCTGCTAAAAGAAATCGTTTCATTTCAAGATGTATTCAGGCTTTGTCATGTAGCAAGTTATATTTATCTTGTTTAATTGGAGCATAGAACATAGCATTAACATTTGTAAAGTAGTAATAGCCATAACTCATGTGGGTCAGGTTAGTTTGCGATGAAGTTGGAAAACAAAAACGGAAGTCAGTGGGCTAGGCTGAGTTTGCGTGAAAGGGCGGGGCTGACCCTGGTGCAGCTCCACCTTATGGTGCAGCTCCGCCTTTGTGGTTCTGCAGCGAGCACCCTCTCGAAATTTTTGGGGTGGCACACCAAATTGGTCCTTGTGGTAATGCTGGGAGAGTTTAGCCTGTGGCGATTTATTGCATTGCTCCTTTATTTGTTTTTATTTTTAAAAAAAAACAACAGTATGTATTAAAAACATTTAACTTAAATTTTACAAACACAAACATTTCAGAAAAATGCATTTCAGTTATTTAAAATGTTATTTCAGTTATTTATTTAGTTATTTATATTTTTAGTTGAATTCACCTGTGTTCACAAAGCACCACAAATAAAAACTTTTTTAAAATGGTGAGCAGCAGAAACGTGTATTTTTTTATTCTCATTATTTCTTTACTCATTAATTGTGTTATTTTTATTTTGTTTTACAATTATGTCTTGAATAAAAAGATCAATTTACAGTTTGACTGAACATTAATATGATTTATTAACACTGGCTTTTCCTGGGGGGGGGGGGCAGCAATTTTCTAAGGGGGGCCATGGCCACCCCTGGCCACCCCATTGGGGTCGCCATTGCCAGGGAGATACTTCACCTGAGGGTGGTGAGTTGCTGCTCCCTGTGGGCCATAGAGGAGTCTATATTTGCCTCCTCTAATTGACTTGGGGGGCATTTTGCCAACAAAAAACAAAATCATAAATAAAATATAACGACACTACTCACGTCATGTCTGGTACAACCAGAACTCCCTAAAACAGGTGCGTGATTGAGTTTACGGATGGGTGTCTGGATAGATCCTTACCTCGGACTGAGGCTATGAACTCCTCCAGCCGACTCAGTAGATGAACATCTCTTTCAAAGTCGTAGAAGTGATGCTCCACCCAGTGACGGCACACATTCAACACCCTGGAGGACAAGAAGTTGAACAGATAGTGTAGGTAAAGCCTGACAAGCTTAGTGGGAACCAGAGTTCAGCTGCCAAATATTTTATCATATCAAACCTATTTGTTCATGGAGTACTCGAGTACAACACCAGCTGTTCCTGCTCTTCGGTCAGATCGGGGTTAATGTTGGGTATTTTCAAGTGCGCGTGTCGAGGAGCCACTAAAGATCAGTCAAGTTATGTTATTGCTGACTGAAAACTTTCGTCTTTCTTTGTTGTGAAGTTGATCACATGTCTGCAGAGCTGAGTAAAGGTATTACCTGAACTCCGTCTACCTGAGCACAGTGGTTGTGTCCTTTAAAAAGTCAGTTGAGGTGACTGTTACATCTATTATGCTCTTGGTCCTTTATGCTACAAGCACAGGCGTCCACCTCCGGATTCCTTTAATCAGAGCTTGTAGATCTAAGGCGACCTGATTTATTTACCTTCTCAGTGACCTCGTGGTAGAGTACCCGCCCTGCGACTGGGAGATCAGGGTTCAAACCCCAGTCGGGTCGTACCTAAGACCTTAACAATGAGACCAAATGCCTCCCTGCTTGACGCTCGTCTTTAAAGGGGTTGAATTGGGAAGTTAAACTACCAAATTGTTCCTGAGCGCGGCCACAACTGCAGCTCACCGCTCCCTACAGGGATGGGCCGGATGCAGAGATGAATTTCACCAGTGTGTGACGACTAATGAGACTTTAACTTTCTTTCGTTCCAAAGCAGAAACTGCTGATCTGCCCACATGGAGCAGAACTCAAAGACTGACACTCAGATTTTGTTCTTGGAGAGACTTACAGCTCGGTACCTGCAGGGCAGTTGCCTGACCTGGGACAAGGGGTATTTGACCAGAAATGGATACTGTTCAACCACTAAGTACCCTGCATGTAGCTGAACTGAGAACTGAAAGAACAAAAGTTCTTTTTACAGCGGTTTTAACCCAAATCAGTATTCAGACAAATTCAAAAATACTTGATTAAACCCAAGGGAAATTAAATTCCACGGGCCAGATGACAACAAAGTCAACCATCAACCTAGGCTGATGATCAACGCTGCCCTGGCGCTGCGTGATGGGCCTCCTCCTGTTGAAATGGGTATTTATTATGGTTAAAGTGTGACTAGCTCAGAAGCACCACCTTGCACACGTCCCAAATTAGGAAGAGTACTCGGAGATCCTGTTTAGTGTGTAATGTCCAGAAAGGGTCATTTTTCACCTACATACTGGCCTGCATGCCACCGGTCATCTGCAGACATAATTCCGTTCTCTAAGGTGGATTTTACATTCCATCTTCCAACAAGCCAGAAGATTCTGCAGTCCTTGTTGACATCAACAAGACGTCCGCCTAAATTCCCAAACAAAGCTTTCTTTTGATAAGACTGCAGGATTGCACACTCTCATCATGAAAGATGAGCTTTTACAACTCATAAGTTAAATCATCATTAAATAAACATGTGGTTGAATGTACAAATGTTATATGACTAATAATATTAATGTTTTAATAATCTGTGCCTAATTCAGTTAAGTTGAAATGAATTTTAATGTTACAACGAAACATTTTGATGTTATGATCAGTAATGTTTGGTTTAAAGGGACTTTAAGAAGTTTTGAATTTTTATGCTCGTGATCGCCCCCTCAGGCCAAAAGCGTAACGGCAGCTTCAATAGTGGCTCGTGCACGAGGCACGCATGCTGCACGTGCACACTCCTTAACGAAAATAACAGCTGAACAGTCGTGTGTGTGCGTGTGCGTGCGTGTGTGTGTGTGTGTGTGTGGCCCGGAGGACAGGAGAACGCACAGCTATTTAATTAATTTGGTTCTGTAGCTTTCTCTTCAGCACAGCCGACAAAGGTTTATGATGGGTCAGTCCTCCTGCATGCTCAGATCATTCCCTTCCCTTGCTTGAAAAATTGTTCCAAAATGAAAGTTGAACCCACATCTTTTTTATCTGTGAATTCAATGCCGTTCGGCGAATCTCAAATAAAAATTTGAGCATCTTACTGTAAAAAAATTATTATTAATGTAAAAAAGAAACTCTAAATAAACCGTGTTCACCATGGCAGACCTACCAGAGGCAAAGGGACTCCTCCACCAGTCAAAGTTGGAGGTTCAAGTAGGAGGAATTTTTGACAAATACAAAAATCTAATTTTGATTCGGAAAAGGGTGGAATGCCTTCTCCGGGTCAGGGATGAGGTCCTGCCCCAAGTGGAGGAGTTGAAGTATCTCGGGGTCTTGTTCACGAGTGAGGGAAAACTGGAGCGTGACATCGATAGGCGGATCGGTGCTGCATCTGCAGTGATGCGGGTGTTGTACCGGTCTGTCGTGGTGAAGAGAGAGCTGAGCCAGAAGGTGAACCTCTCGATTCACCGGTGGATCTACGTTCCTACCCTCACCTATGGTCACGAGCTTTGGGTAGTGACCGGAAGAACGAGATCGCGGATACAAGCGGCAGAAATTAGTTTCTTCCACAGAGTGGCTGGCTCTCCCTTAGAGATAGGGTGAGAAGCTCGGTCATCCGGGAGGGGCTCAGAGTAGACCCGCTGCTCCTCTACATCGAGAGGAGCCAGTTGAGGTGGCTCGGGCATCTGGTCAGGATGCCTCCTGGACGCCTCGCTGGTGAGGGTTTCTGAGCACGTCCAACCGGGAGGAGACCTAAAGGTAGACCCAGGACACGGAGGAGGGACTATGTCTCTCACCTGGCCAGGGAACGCCCTGGGATTCCCTGGAGGAGCTGGCCCAAGTGGCTGGGGAGAGGGAAGTCTGGGCCTCTCGGCTTAGGCTACTGCCCCCGCGACCCGACTCCGGATAAGCGGATGACAATGGATGGATGCACAAAAATCTAAATGGCATAAATTAATGATGATTTTTGTATTTTTCAAGGTGAAACTTTTAAATAAAATGTGTCCCTACAGGTTCTAACGTTTTTGGTGACTTCAGAGTTGTTTGAAACCGGATGAATTTTTCATGCCAGGAATTATTCAGACTAACAAGTTAAATTTCTCTCTGTGAGAGTTGTATTCATCCAGCGCTTATGATTATGTAACAAGCAGCTGTTTGTTACATTAGGTCCTCCAGCAGGAGTGAAACTGCCAAACTACCAGAATAACCTGAGAGTGTGCCAGCAGGAGGCGCTGTGTACCTGAGCTGAACCGGCTGAACAAACTCTTTACGGAAGCGTTTCAGTTCAGCGCTGACCAGCGGCTCTCCTCCATCCATTGTTTCTGAATCGGTGGGCTTTGGCTCTGGGATCTCAAACCTGTAAAACGGACACAGAAAAGCAGAGCAGCACATGACCAGTGTTTTATGTGTTTTCAACAACACAAGAGGTCTTCTTCAGAACCAAAAGCAGTTACTCTTTCTGCACGAAGACAGACTTCCTGTGAAATTCACTAGTTTCTCCTTCACACACCTAGATATTCACACCTGGTCTGTCGCCTTGCTAAAGGGTTATGTGGTTAAGCAACAACCTAATGATTAGTTAACTTTCTGACCGGTTATTGCTATTCACTGATGGCTCTAAAACACTTTAAGCTCTACTAATTGAACCAACAATCAGGCTTTTCAAACTGAACATGATAAGAAGTTTCTGATAATCCCCAAAACAATAATCAAAATATGAATAGGGATTCTGAACGATTCCAATTCCTCGTAGGGCTGCTCGATTATGGCAAAAATAATAATCACGATTATGGTGACTGAAATTGAGATCACGATTATTTAGGACGATTTTTCAATTTATGTTGATTTTATTTGTTTTTATTCAGTCATAAAATTGCTCAGGGCACAATCAGGACAAAAATAAACAAGATGATCACTAAAATAACTCCTGATTCCCAGTATAAAAAAACCAATATACTTATAGCTCATAGTTTATGACCCATGGCTATAGACCTTGGTTTAACTCATGTAAGTCTAACCAGTGCAGACCCAAATACCAATATCTTGCAAATACTGACAACAAGAATTATACAGTGGCATTTTTAACAAATAAATGCAAATAAATTGATGTTCACAAAATGTTGCATAATACGTATTTAGTCGTGTCAAGGTGCTGTAGGAGCGTGCACTAGCACCGTGTCCTCAGAGAGGTTAGTTATTATTTATCAGCGTGAGGAACTTATTTCTGCCTTATTTATAAACTATTTATTTACAAGTCCATCAGTTAATGTAATAATTGTCCCAACCACAGCTGCACCCCCCACCCCCCACCCCAGTCTCACAGCAATCGGGGCAAGCTGCACGTGTGTTTAGCGCGCCGCACGCGCACATTTAGCCGTTTTTAGCGGCTCAGGAGTCCGCAGGTGCGGTGTGTGTGTCACTCACTCTGGTTAATCCAACAAGGAGCCGGCTCTGAGAGCTGTCTTTAGCGACTGACACATCACTGCATCATTCCCTTTCCTAATGTCCTGAAGAACGGTCCGCAGCGCAGGCGGAGTGTTTAGCTAACCTGCAGGAAATGTTGACGACAGTTATCCAGAAAGTAGCTAAGGGTTACCAGAGATGTTTCTGAGGTGTTCGCTAGGTACTTTTAGGATTAAAAAGTCAAGAAGGGGGTCTGAAAAGCTGTTAGAAATAGCGTCAAAGTCGCCAAGTTGGCAACACTGTGGAGGAGCGCATCATTTGCAACTCAGGGCAGCGCAAGTGGGAGGAGCAAATAATCGGCTTGTTTTGTTTTTTATAATCGTTCAAAACTCAGATCGTCATCGTGATTAAAATTCGATTAATTGAGCAGCCCTAATTCCTCGTTTCGATTCCGGTTCCTGTCGATTCCCAATTCTTTGAAGACATGACATGTTTATATGAGCCAGCTAACCACAGGTCCTACTGGATGAAATAATCTTAACTTCAACATGAATTTTAACTCTATGAACAACAACATCACCTTCATTTAGACAAAAACGTGTTTTGGAGAAAAAAAAAAGAAAAAGACTTGCAGCACAACCAGGGTGTTTGTTTCTGACCACAACCAAAGTGTGGAAGCAGCCTCTGGGATGAGAGGCTAAATGTCTCCAACATGTCCAGACACGTCCAGCTGTTTTCAGCTGAAACTCTCAGGATGATCATGTCCAGGATGACGGAGAACCACACCTCCATGCTGCAGCAGCTTCAGTCAGAACAGGAAGTGAAACCTAACCGTAGCTGCTGTCAGTAACAAGCTAACAGGTTTTAAACATCCTCTAAATCTGAGACCATGGTCTTGTTTCGGAAAAGGGTAGAATGCCTTCTCCGGGTCAGGGATGAGGTCCTGCCCCAAGTGGAGGAGTTTAAGTATCTCGGGGTCTTGTTCACGAGTGAGGGAAAACTGGAGCGTGAGATCGATAGGTGGATTGGTGCTGCGTCTGCAGAGATGCGGGCGTTGTACCGGTCTGTCATGGTGAAGAGAGAGCTGAGTCAGAAGGCGAAGCTCTCGATTTACCGGTGGATCTACGTTCCTACCCTCACCTATGGTCATGAGCTTTGGGTAATGACCGAAAGAACGAGATCGTGGATACAAGCGGCTGAAATGAGTTTTCTCCGAAGAGTGGCTGGGCTCTCCCTTAGAGATAGGGTGAGAAGCTCGGTCATTCGGGAGGGGCTCGGAGTAGACCCGCTGCTCTTCCTGTAGCATCCTGAATGTCCTGTTGTTGACCTAAAGGTCATGATCTGCTGCGTCTGCTCGTCTGCTGATGACTTTAAATATTCTACAGGTTATTGTTCAGCCTTCTGACGCTCACACACACACACACACACACACACACACACACACACACAGTGTTGGTGAGCAGCTGCGTCTGACTGCTGACGCTCCGTGTGTGTTTTTATTTCTGCCTCACACCGTCCAGAGTTTGTTCTTTAACGCTTCTATTGAATCCACCGTGTTGACGTATTTAACACGTTTCCTCTACGCTGCAGGCGTTAACGTTTACATCACGGAGTAAAAGTTCGGCAGACGCGTTTGTTTACATCTGGGGGGGGGGTGGCTCGGCTCGGCTCGGTGCGGCACACAGACAGCTGCTGTGATCGGCTCTGAAAAGCGTTGATCACAATTTGCAGATCACGTTTATTTTTCACGGAGATCTGCCGCGGATTCCTTTTCCGTCGGCATTCTAGGAATCGAAATAAAAAACTCTGAGCGACTCCGGGAAAAACTAACAGTTGGAACCGGTTCCAATCGATGCTCGATGCCCAACCCTAAGCACCTCCATATACAGATTGTTTCTCAAGCTCCAGTTCCTGAATCAAGTCGTCGCACAGCAACAAATCTGAACCAGAGCCGGTCCAGATTCTGGTTAAAATTACACTTACTATAAAAGGACAATTAGTCTAAATGTCCCCAAATAAAGAAACCAGCTGCTTGGACTAAAGAGTCACTTCAATGTCACCCCCTCATCCTGAAATCTCGGTCAAAGGAAGACTGGGAAGGAAAATTCCCTTTAAACAGGAAGAGAATTCCAGTAGAACCAGAACGGACTACGGTCTGGGAGAGTAGGAATGAGACAACCGCACTTGTCCCCCAACATCAGAAAGGACTAGATAGTCAGGAGAGGACTAGGTTGGACTATCAGGAGAAGACACTGGCAGAAAGTCTAAAGGTAAGCTCACCTCTCCATGAGCAGGTCCAGCAGCTCCTGAGGTTTACAAAAAGATCGGTAGGTTGTCAGAAACGTCCGCACAAAATTTGGATCTGAGGACAAAAACAGAAATAGATCAGAGACACGTCGATGTCTGAACTGGACCAGAACTGGTTCACCCGGTGGTGTTAGCTTAAATCTGGCAGAGGGAACCCAATCTTCTCACCTGCGTACATGTGGAAGGTGAGCCTCTCTATCAGTTTCAGAACCGTCCCCGCTTTGACGATGGGGATCCCGGACTTGGACTGAACGTTCTCCTCAAAGACCACGTTCTCCTCAGAGTCTGGCTCAGCAAATCGGTACTCTTCAGATGACGGCAGCTTCATCTGCTCCTCCTTCTCCTGCAGCAGGGTCTTGTCCAGGATGCGCTCCAGCGTGCTGCGGTACTGCAGCGAGATCAGCGCCGCCATCCAGCCGTTCTTCTCCTCTGCAGACTTGGCAGCAAACACCACGCTGTTCCCGTCCTTCAGAGTGATCTCAAACGCGTGCCGGTACTCGCCCTCCTTGTCGTCCTTGTCGTTGATCTGGACTTTTCGCATGAAGAACTTTTCTTTGAGCCGGTACTCCGCCGTGGAGCTGGCGCCCGGCAGCCGCGGTGGGCCGTGGTTGGATTTGCAGCAGATCATGAGGCCGTCGAACAAGAAGATGTGTCGCTCATGCTTGGCGCCCACACGGGTCAGCGTGCCCTCCATGATGAACTCGTTGCAGCACTGGCCGATGTCCTTCCCCTCCCAGCCATCAATGTTCTTCTGGATCTCGTTCATCTTCTTGATGGCCAGGTGTTTTCCCTTCACCTGGTGGCTGAGGAAACGGCACGCTGACTCGCTGCAGTGGGGCAAGAGCAGGAGAAGAAGTCAGTCAAGAGGTTTGAATGTTTGAGACATTTAAAACACTTTGGATCCAGCTGACCCAGATTTAAACTGTTAGTCTGGACAGACGAGAGGATCCTGATGCAGGTCGTTTCGGGAGCGAGAACGTTCACGCCGGAGTCTGAAGGAGGTCATGACTAAATCAGAGTGAGACAAACAGAAGCTAAACTCGGGACAGGATCATGTGATATGCCTCTGGAGGTCTAAAACTCCACCAAGGGACGCGTGAACAAATAATCACATCCCGATAACATCATAGAACAGCAAGTGGAGATCACACGTACGTTCTGTTGCGTTCTCACATGGAAGAGGTAGCTGAAGGTGAAGCTAATGCTAGCTCGCTTCCCCTATGAGTTTGGGGCTGATACATTTTCTGTTGGTTGGGGTCGGGCTTGATGCTGGAAGCCTCCATCGGACGTCTCCTCCTCCTACTAGGGGTAGACCGATATATTGGTTTTTCTACATCGGCCGTTATTTGTCCTTAATAAAGCCGATATTTTTATTTATTTTTTGTTTTGTTTATTTCATTCAATCAAATAAAAATTACATTAAAGTTCTTTCCGGAGTATTTCTCTTATCCGATGGCACCATCTAGTGGCTGACAAGCATATCACACAAAAAGTCTATTCCTCTGTTTAAGATGGCGACTTCACGTTTCTGTTTATAAATGTGCTTCTGCAGTAGTAGAGCCCTGCACGGGCCTAAAATCTGAGCCCGTGTCCGGCCCGGCCCGAGGGGGTGGAGCCCCAGCCCGACCCGGTCCGAGAAGGTTTTCAGGATTCTCTGGCCCGACCCGAGCCCGACGTTTTTTTTTTAACCTATCATAATGTTTTAGCGTGATAGGATGCTCAGCGTTCTGATTATCTGTGGGAAGCGTTCTGCAGTAAAAAAAAAGAAAAAGAAAAGAAAGAAAAACAGCATCAGTGCAGCTTTATTTTAACAGAGCGTATTTTTCGAGCAGCAGATGAAATTTACGACCACTATATTAATTGGATGCGTTTGTAAATTTAATCTGCTCTGAAAACGCGCTCTTGTGCAGTTAGAAAAAAAAGCAGCATTCTAATTTTCTAACTGCAGAGCGCATTTTCAGAGCGGCAGATTAAACGCCCCCAGTTAATAAAGCGTTTGTAAATTTCATCTGCCGCTCTGAAAATGCGCTCTCCAGTTAGAAATAAACCAGCGATGAATGCTGTATGTTTTTAACTGCAGAGCAAATTTTTTCACAGAAAAATAGAACGCTGCCGTTTTCGTGAGAATAAACAAATAGGTTTCTGACATCAAAGTGGACATAAAATGGCATATTAGAACAGGGGCGCATGTTTCAATCAGCAGTTTGAGAATTCATTTATAAACCACACACACCTTAACTGAGCTAACGGTGCGTGAGAAGCAGGCAGGTGCTGCTGCGTTCAAGTGTTTCAGTTTTTTTTTTATGAACTCGATTAAAAATAAAGGCGCCTGGCCCGGCCCGTGTCCGAGGTAATTACACAGTCGTTGGCCCGAAGCCCGGCCCTCGAGCCGTCGGGCCGGGCCGACCCGAGGGCCTAGGGCTTCAGTGCAGGGCTCTATGCAGTAGCATCTGATCAGCTTTATCGATTACAAATGTTGCAAACATCTCAGAACTTTTAGCGTCTGTAAATAAACTAAAGGAGCTGTTAGATATGAAGATTTGCACGTCTCTCTTAAAGCTTCCTGCCGGAGTATTTCTCTTATCTAATGTCGCCATCTAGTGGCTGACAAGTGTATCACACAAAAACGACGTTCCTCAGTTTTTTTAAGATGGCGAATTCACGTTTCTGTTTATAAATGTGCTTCTGTAGCCGACAAACGGAGCTAAAACACGCTGTTTCATGAGTATTGTTCTCATGTCATGTTGTGTTTTCATATATTTATATTTTAGATATTTTCTTGTCTGTGAAAAGTTCATCAACTCTGCATCAACCGAGGCATTCCTTCAATGTGAAGCGTCTAAGCAGTAGTCTAACGCTATTGGTTAGTTCTGGTCAGCGCTCAGTTTCCTATTGCACGGAGCTCTGCGGGGCAGGGGGCGTGTTTAGCAACAAAAAAAAAAGACGTATTATATTTTATCACAGCACATGATGAGATAATCACTTTTACAGATTTCTGAAAAATCATACATAATTTCTGAAAGGGGAAAACTCCGGAAAGCAGCTTTAAAACAATTCATGTTCACAAATAATCGTGAATGAAAAGGAGCAGAAAGAAGCAAAAACTTATAATATCTGGCCGAGGGAAACCAATCTGTTTAACTCCAAGCCCGTCGTCCACCTACCCCCAACACAAAACAAGTCTATCAGCCTACTTAAGGTCTTATTATCTCATCATGATACGTTTGACACTTTTTTTAAATAAAGAAAATGATTTAGATTGTTTTATTTCACCGTTGACACTATTCCACACATAGACACCTCTAACAGAGCCGTGTCCAGGACTTTTAAAATGGGGTGGCCCATGTGGGGTCCTTGTTTATTCATGGGTGACACCAATGGTTGTGCTTATTTATTTATTTACACAAATCGTTTATTTATTTATTTACTTTCTAGTGAATTTTTGAGTTTCACATTGCACCATCACCATTTTTTTCCCTCTTCATCTTCTACTTTTGTGGTGGTTAGCAAGTCACTTCTTGTTGCATTACTGCCACCAACTGGAGTTGAGTGGGACTCTAAATACTATTTATGTGAATATGAAAAAATATTAAATATTATTAATACTACACACCTGGGCTGGAAAACAAGGTGAAAGGTGCATGCAACCCAAGCCTTTTGTTGACAATGTAAAGTCTATTTAAACTGGAATTTAGTGGAGTGGCCAATCAGATTGTAAGGATGGCATGTGCTACCCCAGGCCCCTGACCTTTAACTGAGATACCGCTGTTCGGAATCTTGTTTTTTTTAAATATCAGTTCCTTTTAGATTATAATTACTTTCTCTTTTTACAAATTTCTTTTGAATATTTATCGGTAGAACTCCTTTATGTGCTTTGTACATCTGTTTTAATAAATTATATTCTACTAGTTTGTCAAATTTCACAAGGTCTAGTTGTGAAAACATCCCTGCATCCACTTCCACTAATAACTCTCACCGCTCTTTTCTGTAAAAGAAAAACTGAATGTGTTATGCTTTGCAGGTTCTTCCCCATACTTCCATACAATTATGTCAGATGTGGAAGAATTAACGAGTTACACAGAATATGCAAAGCTTTTATGTTCAACAATTCCTTCGTCTTATTTAGTACTGAAATAGCTCAAGATATTTTAATTTTAATAGCATTTATGTGAGACCTCCACGATAAATGTTCGTCAATAATAACACCTAAAAACTTAACTTCTTTAACTCTTTCTATCTCAGTTCCATCAACATTTATTGATGCATCAGCACTTTTTCTTACTACTACAAAAAACTGTAAGCTTAGTTTTATCGATATTTAAAGAAAGCTTATTGATATCAAACCATATTTTAATTTTTGTAAATTCATTTTCAACTACATTTAAAACAACTTTTATATTTTCTCCTGAATAAAATAAGGTAGTGTCATCTGCAAACAGTATGCACTTGAATCATTTAGAAACCATAGAAATATAATTAACGTACAAAAGAAAGAGTAATGGTCCAAGAACCGATCCTTGTGGTACTCCACAACTAATACTTTGTGTAGAGGATTTTATATTATTAATTTCCACAAACTGTTGTTGGTTCATCAAATAACTTCGGTTATTTAAAGTCAGGCATGTCGTCGGAAAGCCTGGTGCTGTTGCAGGATGTAATTTAAATGTATTTTTACGTTCACCAATAACATCTGCATGAAAAATACTCTAAAGTAACTTTATTTAGGTGTCTGATTTTAACACTGGGCAGTGCACAAAATTAAGATTTTACAGTTGGTTAAAGTTCAAAAACAGATTCAGGTTCAGAAATTTTGTGACACTAGTGACACTTTAGCATGAAAGTAAGGTGGAAAACGTCTAGATATCCGTCGTCGGCTGACCAAGTCTCCTACATGTCAACATTGATATCTGCATATCGGTCGACCTCTAGTCGGGTCTCTGAGACTACAGCTGAGATGTCCCTAGGTCCACTCACAGCTGGTTCATTAATCAAAAACTCATGAGTTTGATATGACGACACTAAACAGAGATTAATGGTATGCTAATTAATTAAACTAATTAATAAAACAGTTTTAACTGGACAGTGTACACAACACTTACATAAAACCACTAAACAGAGGTGTGGTGCAAAAGGATCGGACCAAGCAGCAGATGTAACTCAGCTAAATACGGTTTCTGTGGCAGAGAAGCTGCAGTTGTTTACGGGATCCCTGCTTAAATGTTACGTTCATGTTTCTGAAGCCGGTAACCAGAAACGGGCCCTGGGACTGATTTATGGGCTTGATTAGCAATCATTGTTATGTAGTTGTGTGTGTGTCACACACACACACACACACACACACACACTTGAAGCCTTGAAAAACTGTGGATGTGTGAAGCTCAAAAGAAAAGTTAAAAGTTCACTCAAATATTTACCTTCACAACGCCAGATGACCAAAAATATACCAAATTACCAGATTTAGTTAGTTAGTTAGTTAGTTAGTTAGTTAGTTAGTTCATTAGTTAGTTAGTTAGTTGCTTTTGAACTACTTAACACTAAAACTACAGAACAGAGTCCTCCAGAACCAAGTTCCTGCTGCTGCTGGAGGTTCTGTTGGATCAGCTGGACTCCGGTCTTTACTCACTGGTTCTGGAACCAGTTTAATTTGGCTTAAACAAACGAAGACCAAACAAGAAGCCAAAGCTGTGTCACCAACAGAAACAAACAATGGACACCCACACCTACGTCCTCATGTCCACCTGCCTGACATCTGTCCTCTCCGTCTCGTCCCTGGTCAGAGTCCACCAGCAGCAGCTTTTCTCCCTGGGCTCCTTCTGCCACCGAGAACAATGGGCAGCCGGTAAGCTCCGCCCACAAACTAATGTTACTTCCTGTTAACACCAGCAGCACCCTGACTGTCCCGTCCCCCCCTCCAAAAAATTCCTGGTTTATTTTGGTACAAAAGGGAAACAACGGATGGGAGGAGTCCCACTGAGACGGAGTTCTGTTTGTCTTTGGGTGGCTGGGACTGCTAGGGGTTCTGACGCATAGAGGTTCTGTTTTGGTCCAACAAACCGGGCTTTTATGTTTCTGGTCACAAGTGCAACCTGAAACATTTAGAACCAGGTGTTCCACCTACCTGAGCCTCCTCTTGGCCAGGCTCCTGGAGCAGGTCCTCTCGATGCTGGACTGCAGATTGATCAGAGCTGTGATGGCCTGCTTCAGACACTCCTTATCTTCCTCATACTCGCTCTTCTCCTCCAGTTGCTATGGAAACAGAGGGGTGGGGCATTAGGTCTTCCTGCACGTGTGCCCTCTGAAACACCCTGAACGAGACCCAGAGTGTCAGCAGAACCGTGGCTCCCCGTTACGAGTCCTGGATCAGAACCAGAGGAGGAAAAAGCTCCAGGCCCTCCTCAGACCTGTTCAACTGTGAACTAATCTGCAGAACATGACTGGAGGAATTTTAGAGATTTCAGCTCAGCCGCTACAAAGCAGCTTACAGCTGGATAGTCCCAGAACAGAACCGGACCTGTGAGGTACTGGTCTGACTGGACGTTAGCTGGGGTTCTTAGTGGCGGTTCTACGTCGTCGTCTGCTCTCTGATCGGGCTTTGAAACATCAAATGGGAGGAAACGTGCATTTCACTGTTAATCTTATCATCAAGCCCTGAGAGTTCAGTTCTGGTTCTGGATCAGATGGGTTCGGACAAGCTGCAACTGGTTGTGGTGTACAGAAGGCATGGGTTAGGATCTGAAAAGGCTCACCTTGAGCATCTCAAACAGGTGCAGACAGTGGTAAACAGGTGTGAGCAGCAGTCTGGGCAGGAAGTACTGGACCGCTTCTTTGAACCCTACACAGATGGACTGAAGACAGAGAGACAGGTTCTTCATCATCATCATCACCACCATCTTCATCATCACCATACTTTCGTACTCTACATCATCCCTTTCATACGTAACAGGATGATGGTGGCAGAGGAGTTAACCAGAGGGTTGCAGGTTTGAGCTCCACTCACTCGGTTGCAGTTGTTGTGTCCTTGGGCAAGACACTTTTCCCTCCTTGCCTGCTGGTGGCGGTCGGAGGGACCGGAGGTGCCCGTGTTTGGCAGCCTCCCCTCAGCTAGCGCTCCCCAGGGCAGCTGTGGCTACAGTGTAGTTCACCACTACCAGTGTGTGAATGGCGGATTGTGTTGTAAAGCACACTGGAGGGTTGAAGAACTTGCTATCATCATCACCTCCACATAACGGTGTCAGCAACAGAAAAACTCACATCGGTGGATCTTGTGTTTAAATTCATCAAGTGAAATTCTGACGTCATGCTCCACCCTCCATCTACTTTTGACCAATCAGAAAACAAGCTTTCTGCAGCAGCCTCCGTAGATTGGTCAGCATTGTCCAGAGAACTCTTCTGTGTATGATCCTGAAGTGTTTCGGCTGAGGGGTTATTCCTAAACAAGTCTAAACACCCGCCACATGAAAACCCTACCAGCCAAAGAAACACCTGAGATCAATTACATCACACAGAGAGAGAGAGAGAGAGAGAGAGAGAGAGAGAGAGAGAGAGAGAGAGAGAGAGAGAGAGAGAGAGAGAGAGAGAGAGAGAGAGAGAGAAAGAGGGAAGGTGAGAGAGAGAAAGAGAGAGACCATGAAACGACCTACAGTAAGCCTCTACTGCCCCCTACTGGTGTTGCACTCTAAACATGGATGAACCAAACCCTTACTGAGATGTCCTGCAGGTTCCACACTCAGATTATCAGCTGTGTGTGTGTGTGCGTGCGTGCGTGCGTGCGTGCGTGTGTGTGTGTACCTGAAGGTGTAGCGAAGCCCCTGGTTTGGCCACCTGACTCAGGAAATGCTCGTGGAAGCCAGGCCGCAGGATGTCCTGAGCGTATGTCTCGTAGGGGTCAAAGGCCAACTCCTGCTCATCAAAGCACATAAACCACTTAAACATTCTCCCTCTCCTGATAATAACATTTTGTTTCCTTGACGTTGGATGTGCTACTACTAGTTTACCCGTTTAATTATAGATTCACTAGGATAAATACAATAAAGTTTATCTCTCACCAAATAGAATATTTACTAAGACATCACAATGTAACCATGGACACATTGCTTGGTGCTTGGTGCGTGTGCGTGTGTGTGTGTGTGTGTGTGTGTGTGTGTGTGTGTGTGCTCTGTCTTCTCGATCCCCAGTGAGTCGTGGAGGATGGCTGCTTATACTGAGCCAGGATCCTCTGGAGGTTTCTTCCTGTTAAAAGGGAGTTTTCCTCTCCACTGTCGCTGCATGCTTGCTTAGTATGAGGATTGCTGTAAAGTCACCGACACTAGTCAGTGACTCGATGCAACCTGCTGGGTTCCTTATATAGGAAACTTTTTTCTGATTGGCTTAATGAACTGACCTGTATTGGAATGTTTATTATGTGAAGTGCCTTGAGACGACTCTTGTCGTGATTTGGCGCTTTATAAATAAACTTGAATTGAATCAGACATTACCTAAGGCAGTGGATCAAAGAACCAATGGACCAATCAGGTGTACACACCTCAGCAAGGTCTTCAAAGCATCTCCCAACAAGAGGATGAGGGCTTCCTTCGTCAGTCATCTCCACCGTGTCTTCAATCAGACCTAGCAGCTTCACGGTCACTTCATGGATGTCTATGATCCGACTGAAGATGCTGTCCACATCCTGTAAAAGGCGCATCCATAACCATGATCAAAGGACACACCACCCTGGAGAAACAGGTGTGTGTTGCTCATTCATACGTGATGAGAGAAGAGGCTGGGGCTGGAGATGAAGGGCTCTCTGAAGACCTTGATAACCAGATTGAGCTGTCTCAGGAACTGTCGACAGTCACCCATGAAGCTCCTGACCAGCTCATAGTAACTCTGATCTTCACTGGCTGATGGCTCCTCGTCCATCAGAGGGAAGCCACTGATGTCTTCTTCGTCCTGGTGGAACATATCCATCAGAACCTGCACCAACAAAAACACCAGTAACGTATGGGAAAAGGATCTCTGAGAGCTGCAAAACCAGTTCCACAGTATGAGCAACCCAAGAGTTACACAGGATCAATCACACACCAGTAAACATATGTGAATCTGTGTGTATACCCGTGTATGTATCTGTGCATCTATTTGTGTGTATACATGTGTATGTATCTGAATGTATACCTGTATATGAATTTTATACCTATGTCTGTATCTGTGTATGAATCTCATACCTGTGTGTGTATCTATGTATACCCAGTATGCATCTGTGTGTATACCTGTGTATGTATGTGTATATACTGTACCTATGTGTATACCTGTGTGTGTATTATACCTGTGTGTATACCTGTGTATGTATCTGAGTGTTTACCTGTGTATGTATGTGTATATACCTGTGTGTATACCTGTGTATGTACATACACAGGTAAACACTCAGATACATACATAGGTATACACACAGGTATACACACCGATACATACCCAGGTATACACATAGGTATATACACAGATACAAAAACAGGCTTACACGCAGGTATACACACAGATACACACTGATAAATGCACAGATACACACAGATACATACACAAGCATACACAGGTATATACACAGATACACACTGATAAATGCACAGATACACACACATATACATACACAAGCATACACAGGTATACACACAGATACATACACAGGCATACACACAGGTATATACACAGACACAAACACAGGCTTACACACAGATAATTACACAGGTATACACACAGGTATACACACAGATACACACTGATAAATGCACAGATACACACACATATACATACACAAGCATACACAGGTATACACACAGATACATACACAGGCATACACACAGGTATATACACAGACACAAACACAGGCTTACACACAGATAATTACACAGGTATACACACAGGTATATAAACATACATACACAGGTAAACACTCAGATACATACATAGGTATACACACAGGTATACACACCGATACATACACAGGTATACATGCAGGTATATACACATACATACACAGGTATACACACAGGTATATACACATACATACACAGGTAAACACTCAGATACATACATAGGTATACACACACAGGTATACACACAGATACATACACAGGTATTCACACAGTTATATACATATACATACACAGGTAAACACTCAGATACATACACAGGTATACACACAGGTATATATACACATACATACACAGGTCAACACTCAAGATACTTACATAGTAGGGCTGTCGCGGTTGAGGAATTCCCCCTGCTGTGATTCAGGGTGGCTTAATATTGCGGTGTGCGATATTATTGCAGCCCTTTTTTATTGCAGTACTATCTAAACATAATGTTTACACATTTAAAAAAGGTTAAAAATTGCCGCTCCTTCTTTAATAACACTTTACTGAATGCAGATCAAAGGGCAGTAACAACACAGATCGCAGAGTCCGACTGAACTTAAAAACAACAAAATTCAGGAGAAGGTTAAACTTTTAAATGCAGATTTGGCTGCAGCATCTAACAAATAAGAAACAAGTCCCCATTTTGTTTAGTTGTTTAAAATCAAGCATAAAAAATTACATGTACCGTGCGCACGCGCGCCGGGGGGCGGGCGCACTATCATTTCACTTTCACACACACGAATGACGGTGATTTATAACTCGGTCACGTCCTTGTTACCCACAAGGAAAACCAGCATGTTAACTACGGTTTGAGAGAGGATCTGAGAGGGGTGGCAACATTTGCAGCAACACTGAAAACCCTCTCGGATGGTGCGCTCGTTGCACTAACACACACGTACTTGCGTGTGACTCTGGCGAGCAAAGGGAATCTTTCCCGGTTGTTGCTCCACCGTGTCACGGGGGGTTTCTTTAGGGTGGATGCATTCCTCCTGCAGGTAGCGAGTGAGCTCCAGCTCGGCTCAAACTCTCTTCGGGACGGCTGCAGAAGCAGTGCTTGTCCGGGACTTCAGCAGGTCTCCGAGCATTTATTTATTTATTTTTTGCCGCTGGTGGCAGCTCTGTCTCGGCCAAGGACTCTGGCTGCGCAGCAGCTGACGTACTGAAAACCAAAGTGCTCCCACAGGAGCGAAGTAACGTTTCGTTTTGATACCAGTGCAGCCATCCTTCTCAACATGCATCATTGAGTTGAACCAAGTTCAGTAATCGCGGTGGCGCATGATGCAGCGCGGTGGGCTTCTTCATATCGCGATATTTCATTTTTGCGGTTACCGCGACAGCCCTATTACATAGGTATACACACACAGGTATACACACCGATACATACCCAGGTATACATATAGGTATATACACAGATACAAACACAGGCTTACACGCAGGTATACACACAGATACACACTGGTAAATGCACAGATACACACACAGATTCATACACAAGCATACACACACAGGTATACACACAGATACAAACTTAGGCAAACACACAGGTATACACACAGATACATACACAGGTATACACACAGGTATATACACATACATACACAGGTAAACACTCAGATACATACCTAGGTATACACACACAGGTATACACACCGATACATACACAGGTATACACACAGGTATATAAACATACATACACAGTAGGGCTGCAACAACGAATCGATGAATTCGATGAAAATCGATTACTAAAAGCGTTGGCAACGAATTGCGTCATCGATTCGTTGTGTCGCACAACTCTTCCAAAAGCGCCCCCCCCCCCCCCCCCTCCCGCCCACCGTTGCGCGCAGACCAGAGCAAGTCAGATCAGCGCGAGGGAGAGCCGCAGATCAGCGCGAGGGAGAGCCGGTACAGGCAGATCAGCGCGAGGGAGAGTCTGCAGACTTGCGCTGCTGCGAACCGGTTCCGCATTGTTGCACAGCGATCCAGGCAGCTGCTTCCAGCGCACGGTCCATTCTCAAAGTGGCGCAACCAAAAAACTATAATTAGCACACGATCGTTCTTGTCTGCACATGTTCTCTATTTTCTGTCTTATTTGTGCCTGAAGCGCGCTACTGCGGAGCTCATCACCTGTGCTGTGGTGATTTCACCTCACGCAGCATCGAAAACGCGCTCTCCGCTTTGCGGTCAGGAGATCTCTTTGATCTGCTCAAAAGTAACTGATGAGGTGAAAAGGTAAGAATCCAGGCAACAGATTTTCTGGAGAATTATGAGGAGATGCAGGAAGATGAGAGACAGACAGGACAGGAAAATAGTTCAATAAAAACAAGAAAACAAAGTCAAATGTAGGTAGATTTATCTCCACTACATTTTTACCAGTAAAAAACAATAAGTTATACACATGTCATAGTTATACATCTGATACAATTCAGATCACCTTCAAAACTCAGTCACACACCCAGGGCCGTTTCAAGACATTTTGGGGGCCAAGGCAAAATGTCCCCCCCCCCCCCCCCCCTAACTGGGCTCCCCAGAAGCCTCTGTGTAATTGATGCCCTCTCCAGGAGTATTAGTTATACAGTGTTTGTAAAAGCCCCTCAGACATTACTGACATGTTCTAATATTATCAGATGAAAAACTAAATTATAAGACATGCTGTCTCATCAGCTTCTTTTCTAAACTTGCAAAAAGTAACAAAACCATTTGAAAGCCACTATTTGTGGATTCTCTGAAAGTTTCCATGGAGTGTGTGACAACTTATTTTATCATTGATCCTATCGTCTAATCTCACAGCTGGAACAAGCATCCTTAATAATCTGTGCACATGAAGCTTACCGATGCTGTAGTAAAACAAAAGGTATAATAATTTATTATTAATAAAACCTTGTTGCAGCACTAAAGCATAAAAATGAGATTTTGCATTAAATATGCAAAATATTTACATATGAATTGTTTTAGAGCCCTTTTATTGGCAGAATCTGATATTAATTTAGTTCTTACAAAAAATGGGTCCCAACATGGTTTGTGTGGTGTTGCCATAGTGTGACGTCATAGGCACAGATCCCCTGTCCTCTTGTTTGGAAATGGAAATATGGTCACCCTATATTAAACAAACTGTCCACCCGGGCTTTTGCGCTGCACAGAGACGCTTTGCTGCCTATGACTGAACGTCAGTTGAGAGTCAGTCTCATGCAGACTGACCAATGAAGAGAGGGCCTCAAGTTAAGACCCTCTCCTCATTGGTCAGTCCACACGAGGTGGGTCAAAGGTTACTCTGGGCGGGTTACGTGTTGTCAGGCATTCAAGTATTGAGTATATTTACTGCATATTACAGTAAAATATTCTGTATGTGACCACATTATGGTGATCCTCGGGTCGTGATGATGGAGCCCTTGAATATTGTTGCCCAGGGTACAACAAAGTGTTAATCTGGCCCTGGTTCCGCCGTCACATTCCCGCAGAAACTGGTTGATCACACCGGGGCCAGACTACTAGCATGTGGTTTTACAACCACAATGTCCTCGGAAGCAAAAACGCTTTTAAAAGCGAGGGAGGAGTCCTAACTGTTGCTGCAGGCGTGTTGTGTGAGAGTGCAGTTATATACTGGTTAATATATTTTTGGGTTCAGTTGCTTTCATGTGGCCTAATGTGAGTCTATTTGGGATCATTGGAATGATCAGCAGCATTTCTTGATGTGACTTTATGGCAGTTGCCCAGGGCATCATCGCAAGGAGAATGGCATTCATTTACTTTTGTTTTATTTGGTATTTTTTCAGTCATTTTTGGAAATAGTGATCAATTTTGATTAATTCACAGCCTATGTTTAATTACATTTAAAATAAATGTCAACAGATGAGATCAAACAAAACAGATGAGAATTGCCCTTAAGCTGTTTAACTTGGACCAAGCATTTTAGGTCACAGATAGATGTAGCTTAGGGTCTCTGTCTATACACCTTATAAGACAATTTAGGTGATGGCATGTTGTTTTTCTGCTATTGAACTGTTTTCTAATAATGTTGTGTTAAATAAAGTGAAGGAAGGAGAGAAATAACGTTTCCCTAGCAGTTTTTAAAAATTTCCCCATGTAATCCGATTAATCGATTAATCGTGTCGAGACCCCATCCGATTAATCGATTATCCAAATAATCGTTTGTTGCAGCCCTAATACACAGGTATACACACAGCCAGGTATACACACAGGTATATACACAGATACAAACACAGGTATACACACAGGTATATACACATACATACACAGGTAAACACTCAGATACATACATAGGTATACACACACAGGTATTCACACAGATACATACACAGGTATTCACACAGGTATATACACATACATACACAGGTATACACACAGGTATATACACAGATACAAACACAGGTATACACACAGGTATATACACATACATACACAGGTAAACACTCAGATACATACATAGGTATACACACTATACCTGCATGTATACCTGTGTATGTATCTGTGTGTATACCTGTGTGTGTATACCCATGTATGTATCTGAGTGTTTACCTGTGTATGTATGTGTATATACCTGTGTGTATACCTGTGTATGTATCTGTGTGTAAGCCTGTGTTTGTGTCTGTGTATATACCTGTGTGTATGCTTGTGTATGTATCTGTGTGTGTATCTGTGCATTTATCAGTGTGTATCTGTGTGTATACCTGTGTGTATGCCTGTGTTTGTATCTGTGTATATACCTGTGTGTATGCTTGTGTATGTATCTGTGTGTGTTTCTGTGTTTGTGTCTGTGTATATACCTGTGTGTATGCTTGTGTATGTATCTGTGTGTGTATCTGTGCATTTATCAGTGTGTATCTGTGTATATACATGTGTGTATGCTTGTGTATGTATCTGTGTGTGTTTCTGTGCATTTACCAGTGTGTATCTGTGTGTATACCTGTGTGTATGCTTGTGTATGTATCTGTGTGTGTTTCTGTGCATTTACCAGTGTGTATCTGTGTGTATACCTGTGTATATATTTGTGTGTACAAATATATACACAACTACTACGTGAGTATCTGTGCATATACCCATGTACGTATCTTGGGTCCCTCTGTACATACCTGTACATGAACCTGTGTAAACATTCAGAGGTAGGGTTACCTTGTCTGCACACATGGCCACAGTGATGTCCTGCTTGGTGATGTCATAGTGTCGGATGTTCCTCACATAGTTTCCTGCCAGTTTCAGGATGTCGGCTGAAATGTACTCCAAAACGGCCACCATATATACTGACACCTGGTGGTCAATCTTGTATCCCAGAACCTCCTGAAACCAAAGCACCATAGGAGAATAAGTCATGTCTGCAGCAGCAGCACAGTTTAGTGATGAGAGGAGCACAACTGCATGGGACCTTCAGCAGGGGGTGAATCTTATCTACAGGCAGGGCAAGCGGATTCCTCCTCTTCTTCTTCTCAATGGCAGCCTGAGCGTCACCAATCGCCCACTTATCGATCGGGTGGGGAAAGCTCTTCTGAACTCGCTCCTGAAAGAGAAGAGTAATGAGTCTACTGTCCCATGCAGCTAGCCTGGTGTAATAAGATTACAGAAGGGAAATTATTTTGACATGCCATAGCAAAAAAATGTGTTTCCTTTAACGATGCAAAGTTTTTTTCTATTGATAAAATATTTGTTAAAAGCTACAATCTGGAGTTTTATTAACCAGTGGCACCAACTAGAGTCACACAATTGTTTTGCACCTTAAAGAGCAAGTCACCCCCAAATCAACTTTTTTTTCTGATACACTATATAAATGCGTGTCTAATCGTACTGCAGACACATGTAGTCAATAGTTTTGCACTTTAGTGCATTTTAGTTAAAATTAAAATTTTCTGCCTAAACAGTGTTGTGCTGTCGTCAGGTAAAAACTCTGCACTGCATTTGAATTTAAATCTGCCATCGCTATTGGCTAAGAGGTACCCTAGAATGTTAGCTGGTACCATATGATGTCACAATGTCGTTGTGAGCCTGTGTGTGTGTGTGTGTGTGTGTGTGTGTGTGTGTGTGTGTGTGTGTGTGTGTGTGTGTGTGTGTGTGTGTGTGTGTGTGTGTGTGTGTGTGCGCGTGTGCGTGTGCATGTGTGTGTGTGTGTGTTTTCTACCGCCACATCCTGCACCGTGCGTGGCTGAGCCTGACACAACATGCTGAGCAGCTGCAGGATCAGCTCCTCTATGTACTGCAAAGCCTCCTGCTGGGACTTCAGGTTGGGATGCACCTGGTTCAACACCTGTTGGAGCGTGCAAACACAAACACACACACACGCACACACACACGCACACGTTAGTGAGTCTGCTTGAAGGACCAGTCAATAAACCTTGATTACTAAACAAACTGTCAGGAGTTCTAACAGCAAAAGTTCATTAGATTTTAAAATCTTCCTGCGTTTACGGATGAAAACAGGGAACCCAAGTCTCCTCCCCTTCCGGTCGGCTCATGGGTCCCTTTTGTCAAAAAAACAAACAAACAAAAAAATGTAAGTGAACGGGACTGTTGAAGCTATTTTCTGGTCCACTATGCCTCATGCCCTTAATCACACGTGTGTTGTCCTTGAATCTAAACGTCTTGAATCTCCAAGAGCCGGAACTTCTTCTTCCAGCTCTTGGAGAGTTCAGAGGCTTTTTTCCTCCTCTCCTCCCTATCTTATCCCAAGGCTCTTTGTCTGTCTTTGGATGTTCGGCGCTTCTGCATTTTTTCTGGACACTGGAAATTATTAAAAATGGACCTGGTCAGTTGGTCTCTCAATGCGATTGATAACATTTTTTCAACGATGAGAACGGGAGAAGGGGCTCCTCTGGGACAGAGCCAGCTGGGCACATCATAGACTCCTGGAAACAGTGGAACCTGACCTGCCTCTCTCAACTGTCTGTAGAGGATTCTGAAGACGTCTGGATATTCGTGCTGTTTGGCCTGAGCGGGCACCTGGCTTACCGGAAAATTAATGAGCTGTTGAAGAATATTGGCTCAATCCCGGAGCTCAGGGATGGATTACACCGCGCTGTGAACACACAAACTCATATAATTGTCGAGATGAGTCGTAAGCTTGGAACTTTGGCTGAGATTCAGACTCTGGCACAGAAAATTGATGCCATCAAGGATAGAGTTGACAGATCAGCACGGATTGAGTTAGATTAATTTACGCCATTATTGGATCGAGAGGGGTTGAGGACCAACGGAACTTTAAGGCAGAGAGGAAACTATATCTGTCTGGCCCCAAAACAAGTTCTTATCTGAATCTGGTGCCCTTGAGCCTGTGAGGCTGAAGAGATTACTCCCCCTCAGAAGAAATGTGGAATGCTGCCGTCGTCATGGTAACTGTGTCTCCCTATCCCAGCCCGGGCGGTGTGAAGGCCGTTGAATCGTTTCCAGGAGTCACTGTGCTCTCTAACCCAAATACCTCCCTCCCCTGTCCAAACGGAGGTGACGAGCGCTGCTTATCGCGGCTGCATGCACTGATGTGAGGAGAGTCCCCAACCCTACCTCCCCACCTAGTGGACACTTATGTTGTGTTGTCTGAAGTCTGTTGCATTTCTGTCTGAGGAGTTTTTTTGCATTGCAAAGCTGCCCTCCCTGTGGAGGGTAACTCTGAAGTGCCTTTTTTTCCTCCACCTGAACCAATCCTCATGTAACCCTCTGATCTCTATTAAGGTAGCGCGACTCGGGTTGCGAATGACCACAGTCACCAATTCTTGTCACGTGTCTATGCCCATGTATGTATGTCTGATCTCAGAATTGTGAGTACTGAAGCTCTAATTTCCCTCTGGGATTAATAAAGTATCTTTGAATTTGAATTTAATTGAATTTGTATAAATAATTTCTGTTTTGGCTGTTTTTCACATATTTGCTTGGCCAGATTTACAGTTGTTTTCTCCAAGTTTAACGCTTCTATCATCATGGAAGAAGGATGCAAAAGTCACCAAACTCACAGCCATTTTCTTCTTCTCTGGGTCTGTACAATGACGTCAATTTGGTGAGACAAGCAGTTGTGGTCCTCTACGTCTTTTCACACAAAACCTAAAATAACGTTTGCCGCCTGATGGAAATGAGCGCTTTCTTGGCATCAAGACGTGTCTTTAAAATTTACGGAAATCAAAAGTTAAATCCATGGAACACATCAGGATGAAAAAATAACTTATCGGCTCAAAGACCCCATTGACGTTTTATCAGTAGGAGACCCATGGTCAGGAAGTAGATGGGCGTGGCTTAGGCTTCCTGTAAAACTTTATCTTCCGATTGGAATTACTGGGATAGTTAGCAGCATCAGGGCCAACAAACAGGTTGCAGGTTAAAAACCCGGCTCATACCACTGGCCATCATATGTCTGTCGTCTGATTGGACACTTTCATCTGAGACTGAGGTGTCTGTGTCCAGTCAGCTCTGAACTTCTAGCTCCACCTCTGTAGTAATCAGGAAATTCACCATACTACACTGAAGCTGAGCCCCGAGTCGTGCACTCTCTTGTGCATGGTCATGCACGCTCACGTGCACAAACATTGGCCAACCAAAAACAAATTAGGATCAGGTTAGGACATTTTCCTTCCTCTAGTTACAGAGGTCCATGCTGTGTGTCGGTGTGTGTGTTGTTGTAGACCTATAATGTTTGTGTGTGTGTGAGTATGTTTACATTGTGTGTTTGTCTTGTGTTCTGTGTGTCTATGTGGTGTGTGCATTATAGTGGGTTAATAGTGTGTTTTTGTGGGTCTGTGTTGTGTTATTGTGGGTCCATGTTGTGTGTGTTGTTGCGGGTTAATGGTGTTGTGGGTCCGTGTCGTGTGTGATGTTGTGGGCCCATGTTGTGTGTGTGTGGTTGTGAGTTCATGGTGTGTGTTGTTGAGGGTTAATTGTGTTGTGGGTTAATTGTGTTGTGTGTTGTTGTGTGTCCATGTGTTGTGTGTTGTTGTGTGTCCATGTTGTGTGTGTTGTTGTGGGTCTGTGTTGTTTGTGTTGATGTGTGTCCATGTTGTGTGCGTGTTGTTGTGGGTTAATTGTGTTGTGGGTCCATGTTGTGTGTTGTTGGGGTCCATGTTGTGTGTGTGTTGTTGTGGGTTAATTGTGTTGTGGGTCCGTGTTGTTGTGGGTCCATGTTGTGTGTGTTGTTGTGGGTCCATGTTGTGTGTGTGTTGTTGTGGGTCCATGTTGTGTGTGTGTTGTTGTGGTTTAATTGTGTTTTGTGTCCATGTTGTGTGTGTGTTGTTGTTGTGGGTTAATTGTGTTGTGGGTCCGTGTTGTGTGTGTTGCTGTGGGTCCATGTTGTGTGTCCATGTTGTGTGTGTGTTGTTGTTGTGGGTTAATTGTGTTGTGGGTCCGTGTTGTGTGTGTTGTTGTGGGTCCGTGTTGTGTTGTTGTGGGTTAATTGTGTTGTGTGTCCATGTTGTGAGTGTTGTTGTGGGTCCGTGTTGTGTGTTGTTGCTGTGGGTCGATGTTGTGTGTCCATGTTGTGTGTGTTGTTGTGGGTTAATTGTTTTGTGGGTCTGTGTTGTGTGTGTTGCTGTGGGTCCATGTTGTGTGTCCATATTGTGTGTGTGTTGTTGTGGGTTAATTGTGTTGTGGGTCCGTGTTGTGTGTGTTGTTGTGGGTCCGTGTTGTGTTGTTGTGGGTTAATTGTGTTGTGGGTCCATGTTGTGTGTGTGTTGTTGTGGGTCCATGTTGTGTGTGTGTTGTTGTGGTTTAATTGTGTTTTGTGTCCATGTTGTGTGTGTGTTGTTGTTGTGGGTTAATTGTGTTGTGGGTCCGTGTTGTGTGTGTTGCTGTGGGTCCATGTTGTGTGTCCATGTTGTGTGTGTGTTGTTGTTGTGGGTTAATTGTGTTGTGGGTCCGTGTTGTGTGTGTTGTTGTGGGTCCGTGTTGTGTTGTTGTGGGTTAATTGTGTTGTGTGTCCATGTTGTGAGTGTTGTTGTGGGTCCGTGTTGTGTGTTGTTGCTGTGGGTCGATGTTGTGTGTCCATGTTGTGTGTGTTGTTGTGTGTCCATGTTGTGTTTGTTGTTGTGGGTCCGTGTTGTGTGTTGTTGCTGTGGGTCCATGTTGTGTGTCCATATTGTGTGTGTGTTGTTGTGGGTTAATTGTGTTGTGGGTTGACGGTACGGCTCCCATCTACCTGAATCCTCTTGCAAAGGCTTACGTCTCGGCCGGGCCGCTCCGGTCATCACAGGATTGTCGGCTAGCAGTGCCTACACCACGCTCAGGACAATCCAGTTGTGTTGTGGGTCTGTGTTGTGTGTTGTTGTGGGTCCATGTTGTGTGTGTGTTGTTGTGGGTTAATTGTGTTGTGGGTCCGTGTTGTGTGTGTTGCTGTGGGTCCATGTTGTGTGTGTGTTGTTGTGGGTTAATTGTGTTGTGTGTCCATGTTGTGTGTGTTGTTGTGGGTTAATTGTGTTGTGTGTCCATGTTGTGCGTGTTGTTGTGGGTCCATGTTGTGTGTGTTGTTGTGGGTCCATGTTGTGTGTGTGTTGTTGTGTGTTAATTGTGTTGTACGTCCGTGTTGTGTGTGTTGTTGTGTCCATGTTGTGTGTGTGTTGTTGTGGGTTAATTGTGATGTGTGTCCATGTTGTGTGTCTTGTTGTGGGTCCATGTTGTGTGTCTTGTTGTGGGTCCATGTTGTGTGTGTTGTTGTGGGTCCATGTTGTGTGCGTGTTGTTGTGGCTTAATTGTGTTGTGGGTCTGTGTTGTGTGTTGTTATGTGTCCATGTTGTGTGTGTTGTTGTGGGTTAATTGTGTTGTGGGTCCGTGTGTGTGTGTGTTGTTGTGGGTCCATGTTGTGTGTTATTGTGGGTCGATATTGTGTGTGTGTTGTTGTGGGTTAATTTTGTTGTGGGTCCGTGTTGTGTGTTGTTGTGGGTCCATGTTGTGTGTATGTGTATGTGTGTGTGTTGTTGTGGGTCCATGTTGTGTGTCCATGTTGTGTGTGTTGTTGTGGGTCCATGTTGTGTGTGTGTTGTTGTGGTTTAATTGTGTTTTGTGTCCATGTTGTGTGTGTGTTGTTGTTGTGGGTTAATTGTGTTGTGGGTCCGTGTTGTGTGTGTTGCTGTGGGTCCATGTTGTGTGTCCATATTGTGTGTGTGTTGTTGTGGGTTAATTGTGTTGTGTGTCCATGTTGTGTGTGTGTTGTTGTTGTGGGTTAATTGTGTTGTGGGTCCGTGTTGTGTGTGTTGCTGTGGGTCCATGTTGTGTGTCCATGTTGTGTGTGTGTTGTTGTTGTGGGTTAATTGTGTTGTGGGTCCGTGTTGTGTGTGTTGTTGTGGGTCCGTGTTGTGTTGTTGTGGGTTAATTGTGTTGTGTGTCCATGTTGTGAGTGTTGTTGTGGGTCCGTGTTGTGTGTTGTTGCTGTGGGTCGATGTTGTGTGTCCATGTTGTGTGTGTTGTTGTGGGTTAATTGTGTTGTGGGTCCGTGTTGTGTGTGTTGCTGTGGGTCCATGTTGTGTGTCCATATTGTGTGTGTTGTTGTGGGTTAATTGTGTTGTGGGTCCGTGTTGTGTGTGTTGCTGTGGGTCCATGTTGTGTGTCCATATTGTGTGTGTTGTTGTGGGTTAATTGTGTTGTGGGTCCGTGTTGTGTGTGTTGTTGTGGGTCCGTGTTGTGTTGTTGTGGGTTAATTGTGTTGTGTGTCCATGTTGTGTGTGTTGTTGTGGGTCCGTGTTGTGTGTTGTTGCTGTGGGTCCATGTTGTGTGTCCATATTGTGTGTGTGTTGTTGTGGGTTAATTGTGTTGTGGGTTGACGGTACGGCTCCCATCTACCTGAATCCTCTTGCAAAGGCTTACGTCTCGGCCGGGCCGCTCCGGTCATCACAGGATTGTCGGCTAGCAGTGCCTACACCACGCTCAGGACAATCCAATTGTGTTGTGGGTCTGTGTTGTGTGTTGTTGTGGGTTAATTGTGTTGTGTGTCCATGTTGTGTGTGTTGTTGTGGGTCCATGTTGTGTGTGTTGTTGTGTGTCCATGTTGTGTGTGTGTTGTTGTGGGTTAATTGTGTTGTACGTCCGTGTTGTGTGTGTTGTTGTGTCCATGTTGTGTGTGTGTTGTTGTGGGTTAATTGTGATGTGTGTCCATGTTGTGTGTCTTGTTGTGGGTCCATGTTGTGTGCGTGTTGTTGTGGCTTAATTGTGTTGTGGGTCTGTGTTGTGTGTTGTTGTGTGTCCATGTTGTGTGTGTTGTTGTGGGTTAATTGTGTTGTGGGTCCGTGTGTGTGTGTGTTGTTGTGGGTCCATGTTGTGTGTTATTGTGGGTCCATATTGTGTGTGTGTTGTTGTGGGTTAATTTTGTTGTGGGTCCGTGTTGTGTGTTGTTGTGGGTCCATGTTGTGTGTATGTGTATGTGTGTGTGTTGTGGGTTAATTGTGTTGTGTGTCTGTGTTGTGTGTAGTTGTGGGTCCATGTTGTGTGTATGTGTATGTGTGTGTGTTGTGGGTTAATTGTGTTGTGTGTCCATGTTGTGTGTGTTGTTGTGGGTCCATGTTGTGTGTGATGTGGGTTAACTGTAGCATCAATAACAGGTACAAAACCGTTTCTGTGTTTTACAAAAGAACGACAATGTGGGTTAATTGTGTTGTGGGTCCATGTTGTGTGTGTGTGTGTGTGTGTGTGTGTGTGTGTGTGTGTGTGTGTGTGTGTGTGTGTGTGTGTGTGTGTGTTAATTGTGTTGTGGGTCCGTGTTGTGTGTGTGTTGTTGTGGGTTAATTGTGTTGTGTGTCCATGTTGTGTGTGTGTTGTTGTGGGTTAATTGTGTTGTAGGTCCATGTTGTGTGTGTTGTTGTGGGTCCATGTTGTGTGTGTTGTTGTGGCTTAATTGTGTTGTGGGTCTGTGTTGTGTGTTGTTGTGTGTCCATATTGTGTGTGTTGTTGTGGGTTAATTGTGTTGTGGGTCCGTGTTGTGTGTGTTGCTGTGGGTCCATGTTGTGTGTATGTGTGTGTGTGTGTGTGTGTGTGTGTGTGTGTGTGTGTGTGTGTGTGTTGTGGGTTAATTGTGTTGTAGGTCCGTGTTGTGTGTTGTTGTGTGTCCATGTTGTGTGTTGTTGTGTGTCCATGTTGTGTGTGTTGTTGTGTGTCCATGTTGTGTGTGTTGTTGAGGGTCCATGTTGTGTGTGTTGTTGTGGGTTAATTGTGTTGTGGGTCCGTGTTGTGTGTGTTGGTGTGGGTCCGTGTTGTGTGTGTTATTGTGGGTCCATATTGTGTGTGTGTGTTGTTGTGGGTTAATTGTGTTGTGGGTCCGTGTTGTGTGTTGCTGAGGGACCATGTTGTGTGTGTGTGTGTGTGTGTGTGTGTGGTGTGTGTGTGTGTGTGTGTGTGTGTGTGTGTGTGTTGTGGGTTAATTGTGTTGTATGTCCGTGTTGTGTGTTGTTGTGTGTCCATGTTGTGTGTGTTGTTGTGTGTCCATGTTGTGTGTGTTGTTGTGGGTCCATGTTGTGTGTGTTGTTGTGGGTCCATGTTGTGTGTGTTGTTGTGGGTTAACTGTAGCGTCAATAACAGGTACAAAACCGTTTCTGTGTTTTAAAAAAGAACGACAACGTGGGTTAATTGTGTTGTGGGTCCATGTTTTTTGTGTGTGTGTGTGTGTGTGTGTGTGTGTGTGTGTGTGTGTGTGTGTGTGTGTGTGTGTGTGTGTGTGTGTTTGTGTTAATTGTGTTGTGGGTCCGTGTTGTTGTGGGTCCGTGTTGTGTGTGTTGTTGTGGTTCCATGTTGTGTGTGTTGTTGTGGTTCCATGTTGTGTGTGTTGTTGTGGTTCCATGTTGTGTGTGTTGTTGTGGTTCCATGTTGTGTGTGTTGTTGTCGGTTAATTGTGTTATGTGTCCATGTTGTGTGTGTGTTGTTGTGGGTTAATTGTGTTGTGTGTTCATGTTGTGTGTGTGTTGTTGTGGGTTAATTGTGTTGTGGGTCCATGTTGTGTGTGTTGTTGTGGGTCCATGTTGTGTGTGTTGTTGTGGGTCCATGTTGTGTGTGTTGTTGTGGGTTAATTGTGTTGCATCCATGTTGTGTGTGTGTTGTTGTGGGTTAATTGTGTTATGTGTCCATGTTGTGTGTGTGTGTTGTGGGTCCATGTTGTGTGTGTTATTGTGGGTCCATGTTGTGTGTGTGTTGTGGGTCCGTGTTGTGTACCTTCTCCAGGGACGGAACCAGCAGGCCTTTCCACTTCACGTTGTTGTCTTCGCTGAAGAAGTCGTACTGCGGCTGCGCGGCCTGCATGGCTGCGGCCCCGGGACGTGAGACCGCAGCGGGACACACTCACGCAGCTAGACGGTTTACATGAACGTTGTGCCTGCCTGTCCGAGTCCAGAGGTCCGGGTGACGCCGGTACGGTCCTCCAGGGCAGCTGGCATCACAGCAACCATCCTCCGACGGTTACGGAGAGCGGAGGTTCCGCAGTAGACCGTTAGCTCCGTGCTGCTCTGTCGGGTGTCGCTCAGTCCGCCGGCTCGGTTCTCCGCGAGGAGGGCATGGTAACGTTAGCAGTAGCTTCCTTCAGTTCCCGGGCTGCTGCCGGTTACGGCTGGACTCTGACGAGCTGGGGCTCCGGTATGGATCCGTGGGTTACTCGGTAAGGTTCCTGCTCACCAACATACCGCCTTAACCCGTTTAAACGCCGCGGTCCCTCCGGTTCTTCGGACTGAATCGTGTCACTCCTAAGATCCGGATCCGGGGCCCGACAGGCGCCCCCACTCACCGACGTTCACCGTGGAGTTTGTTGTGACTGTAGCGGTACCGTCCACGGCGCAGCAGTGAGCATGCGCAGTTTGCAGCTTCTGACGTGTGCCAACAGCTCGAACCTGAGCCACGCGGCCTGTGTCGGTACTGCAGGAAGTGAAGGTTTTAAAGGGCCAGACGAGAAGTTCGGGTGTTCCGTACACGACACTTACCTGCATGCGAGCTCAGGTGGCACAAGGGCTGTTTAGTTCTAGACCCGGTCCAATCAGCCCAGGTCTGAACCCTCACCCTTAGTCATCCGTTTAGTCATTAGGAACACTCAAAAGGTGCTGAAACCGTCTGGAGAAAACTTCACCTTTGCTGAGTACCGCAGTACACCAGAACCAGGGGCGGTTCTAGAGGGGGGCTTGCAAACCCCAAGCTCTCCTCTCACTGATGACTGAAATCAACTAAACTTTATTTGTATAGAGCTTCACAGAAGGCTAATAACAGATAAAACCAAACATTTTATAACCAACATCCCACATCTCCTCTACCTGAGCAAAATATGACGTCTTATTCAATCAGCCAAAAAGAGCACACGTCACCCCTCTGTTCATTGAGCTCCACTGGCTACCGCTAGCAGCACGCATCAAATTCAAATAGCTAACACTAGCATACAAAGTCCTGGATGGTTCGGCTCCCATCTACCTGAATCCTCTTGCAAAGGCTTACGTCTCGGCCCGGCCGCTCCGGTCATCACAGGATGGTCGGCTAGCAGTGCCTACACCACGCTCAGGACAATCCAGACTCTTCTCATGCATCGTTCCACCAATGTGGAATGACCTTCCTAACACTACCAGAACAGCAGCTTCCTTTTCAATTTTCAAGAAACTCCTGAAGACCCTGCTCTTCAGAGCATGGACGTAATTTTCACTTGAGAAGTGGGGGGGACACGGGGGGGGGGGGGGGGGTTTACAGAATGCTCTAATGGGAAACAGGTTTCAACACAAACGGCTGTTTTCCGCTTGGTCTTAGAGCTCAACCAGTGTCAATTTAATATAGCGTAATATTGTTTTTGGATGGTAAAAAGTGCAGGGGTCAAAACTTGATTTTGGAAAAAGTGGGGGGGACATGTCCCCCCTGTCCCCCCCCCCCCAAAATTACGTCCATGCTTCAGAGAGCATCTTCTAAACTAGCACCCTCCCTGCACCCGCCCCCCCTCTCTACCGTCCACTCCTTGTTTCCTACTCTCCATGACTGATGTCAAGTTGTTGTTGTTATTGTTGTTGTTAGCCTAAAGAGCAACATGCCGATTATCACTTGTAAGTCGCTTTGGACAAAAGCGTCTGCCAAAAACATAAACATGACGTCTTATTCAATTTCAGTTAGGAAATGGAAATAGTGCCACGTTGAACAAATAAATAAACATAACCTGTTTCCAGCAGCAGCTGAATCACTTTCTTCGAGAGAATCCTGACATGCCCACTGTGCAGGGCAAATTCCTACTTCCACACCGGTCATATATTTATGTTTCGAGTGAGAGAAGTATCTGAAGAGTGTATAACAGGTGAAACTTGAAAATTCAGATTTATTTCAGTAAAAACAAATGGGAACCAAACCAAGCGAGTACATAAGTATGATTACACTTTTTCTGATTTCCGGCATTTACAATCCTTGTTTCATTGATTCATGTAATATTCTAATTGTCTGAGATTTTGAATGTAGGGTTTTCATCAGGGGTTCTGGAGAGGAGGTAGCCTGGCCTGCCAGAATCGTCTTCTGTTTAATTCTGCACAGAGAACGAGTCTGGTAACTCACAGGCAGAAGCACTGGAGGGGCGGGACTAGGCAGCACAAAGTAACCAATCAGAAAAAAGATGGAAATCCCGACTGTATCGCACGACGCTGTAGTTTTCTAGCTGTAGTCAAAAATGGAGTCTGGCAACGGCGCAAACATCTTTCTATAGAAGAAAGGCTTTTAGTGCTTCTACTTGTTGTGTCCAAGTTATTTAGACCAGAGGAAAGAGCCGCAGCGAACTCCGCTTCAGTCGCCATGTTCGACAAACTCTGCGTTGTGGTGTGTGACGTACGATACTCAGCGCTGATTGGCTCGGTTAGAAATCTCACGGGGAGGGGTTATTTGAATAGGAGAGTTACCAGACTCTTGCTCTGTGCAGAATTAAACAGAGGATGAGTCTGGCAGGCCAGAGAGGAGGGTCCGTCGGATTGTTGAACCTCAGATTCAGGAGCAGCAATGTGGTTTTGGTCCTGGCCGTGGAACACTGGACCAGCTCTAGACCCTTAGGGGGGTCCTGGAGGGTGCGTGGGAATTTGCCCAACCAGTCTACATGTGTTTTGTGGATTTGGAGAAGGCGTTAGACTGCGTCCCTTGGGGGGGGCCTGTGGGGGGTACTCCGGGAGTATGGGGTACCAGGCCCTCTGATACGGGCTGTTAGGTCCCTGTATGACCGGTGTTAGAGCTTGGTCCGCATTGCCGGCAGTAATTCGGGCTCGTTCCCAGTGAGAGTTGGACTCCGCCAAGGCTGCCCTTTGTCACCGATTCTGTTCATAACCTTTATGGACACGATTTCTAGGTGCAGCCAAGGTGTGGAGGGCATCTGTTTTGGTGGCCTGAGGATCAGGTCTCTGCCTTTTGCGGATGATGTGGTCCTGTTGGCGTCATCAGAACGTGATCTTCAGCTTTCGCTGGAGCGGTTCGCAGCCGAGTGTGAAGCAGCTGGGATGAGAATCAGCTCCTCTAAATCTGAGACCATGGTCTTGAGTCGGAAAAGGGTAGGATGCCTTCTCAGGGTCAGGGATGAGGTCCTGCCCCAAGTGGAGGAGTTTAAGTATCTCGGGGTCTTGTTCACGAGTGAGGGAAAACTGGAGCGTGAGACCGATAGGCGGATTGGTGCTGCATCTGCAGTGATGCGGGCGTTGTACCGGTCTGTCGTGGTGAAGAGAGAGCTGAGTCAGAAGGCGAAGCTCTCGATTTACCGGCCGATCTACGTTCCTACCCTACCTATGGTCACGAGCTTTGGGTAGTGACCGAAAGAACGAGATTGTGGATACAAGCGGCAGAAATTAGTTTTCTCTGAAGAGTGGCTGGGCTCTCCCTTAGAGATAGGGTGAGAAGCTCTGTCAATCGGGAGGGGCTCGGAGTAGACCCGCTGCTCCCCCACATCGAGAGGAGCCAGTTGAGGCGGCTCGGGCATCTGGTCAGGATGCCTCCTGGACTCCTCCCTGGTGAGGTTTTCCGGGCACATCCAACCGGGAGGAGGCCTAAAGGTAGACCCAGGACACGCTGGAGGGACTATGTCTCTCACCTGGCCAGGGAACGCCTTGGGATTCCCCCGGAGGAGCTGGCCCAAGTGGCTGGGGAGAGGGAAGTCTGGGCCTCTCGCCTTAGGTTACTGCCCCCGCAACCCGACTCCGGATAAGCGGATGAAAATGGATGGATGGATGGATAAAGGCTTGATATATCTGGCTGTGCATGGAATGAGTCTCATATATTAGTTCCACCTTTAAAGTTGAATTAGTGACAAATGAGCTTTTGCACCATAGTTTCGCCTGTGTGTTCAGTTTGTAAAAGTTCTACCAGATAATTTTCAATATGACATTTTGATGCCAGTACCAGACATCCATAGTTTTAAGACTGTGTGGACTTTACTATTTAGGGGATCAGCTGATCTGAAGGAACCTGGATGGTGTACGTGGTGTTAGCCCGACCAGCCAGCCGCATTCTTCCTTATGGGAAGCATTGTTCGTTCTCCGTGTAGGCAGAGGATGAGTCTGGCAGGACAGGCCATCACGGTGCAGGCCTGCAGCAGCTCAGACCGGTAGGAAGCAAAAAGCAAATCGATGGATTTTAAAATGAATCCTAGAATGCCGAGGCAGGGTTAGGAGCCAAAACAGGAAATGGGTCAAACAACAGTGTGTAGCAGCATCCTGCATCACTAGAGCAACACAGCATCACTGATTCCTTCATGAAGTCCATGTAAAAATAAAATAGTCTTTTTCTTCTCTTTAGGCATTAAAATCATCATTTCACTGTCAACCAAACTGATGACACACAAACATACGTGGTGCGTTTAGCTGACCCAGTAGCCACAGACCAGAACCTGGTTCTGAATCTAACGATAATGTTAGTAACTTAGCTCTTGCTGTCAGCTGATTACTGGAACAGCTGACTGATGACATTTCTTGACGGCTTTGCGACGTCGAACCTCAGCAGGAAACTGAAAACATTTCAAAAAGTAAGTCGAGCAAAAAATACAGAAACGCATAAATAAACATCTAGTTAGTAAACTAAACATCAGAAACCTCAAACAGATGACAGGAACAGCTTTGTTGGTGTTTACATGTTTATTTACAGCTCAGCCACAGATGCCTTGAGAGTCCAGAAGGGGGCAGCAGAGTCTAATGAGAGGGGGCTACAGGGGGCAGCGGAGCCTGGGGGTGGGGCGTATGCAGCGGTTCTGACCAGGTGTCAGTTTTAAAGACAATAGGGTAAAGTTCTTTGTGGTTCTGTTTAGAGTCCGGATGGACCAGCAGAAGATCCACATCAGCATCAAAGACAATGGAGTCTTTCTGACAGTAAAGCTCAGGGGGTGATATCGGACTCGGGGTCACCTGGACCTGAGGAGCCCGGAGCATCAGAGGTCATCAGTACCCACAGTTGGTTCTGAGTGGCTTTACCAAGAAGATAAGTCCAACTTAGCCCGTAACAGAAGTTCTATGGGGGAACAGAACCTCACAGATGGGAGTACCAGGTGGATTCAGCAGGTTCAGGAGCTGTTTCTGCAGAACCTACAGGTTCTGGCAGGTGTCTGGGTTAAGGACAGGAACCAGAGCTGGAGGTTACAGCAAAACCAAACTCCATCCTGTCTAGTACCTGGATCTGTGACCACACCTGCACTTCCTGTGTGAACCAAGGCTCACATTCCCGATCAGCAGCAAGATCCAGTTGGTGGTTCTGGGTGATCCATTAGATCTGTGTTCCAGCTGCGATCCAAACCTGCGGCTGGTTTTCTAGACCAGTTCTGACAGGTGTGTATCTGCTCAAAGGTGGGGTTCCCCAAAGCTCTGGTTCCACTGAAGACGGACTCCGGGTCTCGTGTGTGCCGAACCATCTTTAAGAACATTTCAGAAAGTCGAGACCCAACGACCCAGAATGGTTCTGTTCAGAAGGATCCTCAGAGTTTAAATCACAATTGTCTTCATGCTGCTGAGAACGGACACACCAAATAAAACACTGTAAAGCAGGTTCAGGTCTGGAACCAGAACCAGACCATGACCCAGTCTCCATCCCGGAGCCGGTCCATTGGCTGTTGTGGATCAGGAGGCGTAGTCAGACATCTGATCAATGAGTTCTGATTGGTTGAACTTAAGATTGGTCACAGCAGGTTTATTAATCACGCTGTACCAGATCTGGACCAGGAGCAGAACCACAGGTTGGTTCTGAAAGCTTCTAGACTATTTGTTAGGCTGTCAGGTGAGTCCAGGTTAGGTCAGCTACTTCAGTCAGGTGACCCGAATGAAGCTGACCTAACCTGGACTCACCTAGTCCTGCCGGGTCCTTCCACACAATGCTGGGCCAAGGACGTGATCCCGTCTGGATCCAGAACCATCGATGGTCTACAGGAAACCAGAGACTCGGGTTGAACAAGGGTTTCATCATTTCTTCATGAACCTGGTCTAAAACCAGAATGTCGTAACAATTAAACAACTGAATCCTCTCAGAGTTCTGGGTCCAGTTCTGATAACGACTTCTTGGTTGTTTATTAAAAAGAACCTTTAATAGGAATGACGTCACCTGTGGCCACGCCCAGCTGTGATGTCACTTTATCCAACAGCACACCTGACTGTCTCTGCAGGAGGTCTGAATCTGAAACGTGGACAGACACCTGGACTCAAAGACCTTGTCCCACTTGTCCTTTGTGTACAGAATTAATGGCGTCCTCCAGCAGGGCGCGCCGTGCTTCTGGTGGAACCAGGAACCAGCCCAACTGGGTCGAAACGACGTTCAGGTTCTCCTGAACCTCCTAGAATCTCAGACGGAGGACTCGCGAGCCATCTTGGATCTCAAAGCTCCCGCCCGACTCAGGAAGGGGAAGGTGGTTCCGAGACAGCCGGCGGCCACCGTGAGACCCAGACTGACCCAGGCACAGCAGATGGACCACCCGTAGCCATGGTCCACATCAGACGGAAGACCGTAGATGAAGGGGGGCTTCCTGGAGAAGTCGTAGGTCATGCTGGCTGCGTAGGTGCACAAGGAGATGGTGCAGAAGATCCCTGGAGACAGAAGAACCACAGACCGGATCAGAACCACAGAATCACACACAGACACAAAGAAGAGACACAAAGCAGGTGAGTCACCTGCCATGAGGAACAACAGGCCAGAGACGTGCTGCGTCAGACTCTCCTCCCAGAAGAACCCCACAGAGGCCACAATGCTGCCGCACAGCAGGACCGCCGCTGCCATGCCCAGGAACCCTGCTGTGATGCGCCGCAGGTCTGAGAGCACACACACACAGATGATCGTCATTCTCTATGATCTGGGTGTTCTAAAGGTTCTCCTAGAGGTTCTCCAGCTGATCCAGAGTTCTGATGAGAGATCAGACTCTCCAGCTTCAGCATCTCTATGTCGGCTCCCTGGAAGATCCAGAGCTGGATCTAAAATTCTACCTCCGAAAGCTCTGACAGATGGTCGTTTGCTGTTCCAGATGTTCCCAGCATCCAGATGTCTAGAACATCCTCACTCTGGAAGCTACTCAAACGGTCAAGAACAAAGCTGCTGACCTTTAAGGACAGCAACACGAGTGCACCGGTCACCAGAGAACGCCGAGTAAGCCTGCTAAGGTTAGCTTTAGCTGAAATGCTAATCAGCATAGCCAGTGTTTAAAACACATCAGCTCCAGATGTTCGCCGTGCACCACCGTGCACGACCTTCTTCTGAGAGGAAAATGCTGATGGTGATGAGCTGCAGTGTAGCCACAGCTGCCCTGGACCTCACTGACAGAGGTGAGGCTGCTGAGCACAGGCGCCACCGGTCCCTCCGACCACCACCAGCGGGCAAGGTGGGTTAAGCGTCTTGCCCAAGGACACAACAGCAGAACTTTCTGTCCGGAGCCGGGACAATCGGACAACCGCTCTACCGCCTGAGCTACTGCTGCCTCGGTTTAGTCGTACAGCACCGAATCACAAGAGTCGTCTCAAGGCACGTCACAAAATAAAACATTCTAATCCAGTTCACTTCATTTTGCCATTATGCTGCATGGTGGCGCAGTTGTTAGCCCTGCTGCCTCGCAGTGAGAAGGTTGCAGGTTCGAAACTCAGCTGCTGCCTTCCTGCGTGGAGTTGCGTGTTCTCCCCACACGTGCCGGGGTTTCCTCCGGGCACTCCGGTTTCCCCCACAGATCACAGCATGCCCTATAGGTTATAAACTGTACGTCGCTTTGGTTAAAAGCGTCAATAAACGAACATAATTAGCTAAAAGATTCCTATATAAGGAACCCAGCAGGTTGCATCAAGTCACTGACTAGTGTCAGACTTTACAGCAATCCTCATACTATGCAAGCATATAGCGACAGTGGAGAGGAAAACTCCCTTTTAACAGGAAGAAACCTCCAACAGAGCCTGGCTCAGTATAAGCAGCCATCCTCCACGACTCACTGGGGTTGAGAAGACAGAGCAGACACCCGTGTGGAGATCCGTCTGCTGACTGTAGCGATGGGTACCGAATTCGGTACTTTTTAAAGGTACTGACCGAATTCCATAGTACCGACTGAGCACCGATTCACGTCATTTGAAACGGTGCCTCGTTTCGGTACCCGTCCTTCATAACGAGAACGTGCCTAGACAGCTGCGCATGCGCAAGAGCGTTATGTCGTCGGTCGCTGCGAGCGAGTTGTAAACAGAGCAGCATGGTAGAAAGAACGCACGCTAAAGCTTGGGTCCACTTCACTAAATGTGATGGGTAACTGGGTGATGATGAAACCAGCGACAACGATCTAAGTGAGACATCCTCATCTTAATCTGCTCCAGTAGGTAAATAAAATGTTTAAGATAACGTTAGCTTGATATGTTAGCTTCCATTCCGCTAATGGTGCGTTCGCTTTCTCCTCGGAACTCCGAATTTCCGACTAGAAGAACATGAACTCGCTGTAAAGTTTGGCTTCACTTTACTAAATGCGACGGGTGATTGGGTGAAGATGAAACCAGCGACAACGATCTAAGTGTGAGGCATCATCGTTTTAATCTGCTCCAGCAGCCAAATAAACTGTTTAAGATAACGTTAGCTTGATATGTTAGCTTCCATTGCCACCGTTGTTATCAGCTAATGGTGCGTTCGCTTTCTCCTCGGAAATTCTAACATCCCAGTAGGAAAAATCAAAGAAAAAGGACGGCAAAAGGAATGAAGATACACAGTAAATTTAGTTCACAGTAAAGATGTTTGCTTCAGTTTAATCATCAGCTTATAAAACTACAAGGACAATGTTAAAATACAAACAGTTGTATGTTATTTATCGTGATATTTATCAAATATGGTTATATATTGAGAAAAATATGTATTTAATTATAAAAGAGAATTAAAATATTAAACACTCAAAAGTATCTAAAATTGGTACCGTTGAGTACCGGTATCAATTCCTAGGTACCGGGAATTAGTACCGGATCTATTCAAATGTCAAAGGTTGTTATCTTATTGTTGTTATCGATTCAAATGTCTCATGTCTTTATCTTAAGAGGCGCCATATAGAAACAATTTCTTCTTCTGGTTCTGTTGGACGGTTCATCCTGTTGAAACATCCAACAGAACCAGAATCGGAGGATTGTATCGAGGTGATATCTGAATCTAATCAACTTTAAGAGTAATCTGACTTTTAAGAACTTAAACTCCGTTACAACCTGATCCCGTTTAGATTTGGTGCTTCTTACAGAGTCTGGAGAGGACTTGTGTTGTGAACTTGATGCTGACGCTTCCCTCTGACTACCTCCATCAAGCAGGCGGGTCAAGTGCCTTGCCCAAAGACACAACAACTGCAACAGACTGAGCAGGCAGCAAACCTGCAACCCTCTACTTACGGGGGCGGGGCTTAACTCCCCTGCCACACTTTGCAGTCTGAAAGCAATCAGAAGAGAAATCTTTTTATCATGGCAGTAATGAGGCAGTTAGATGCAGAAAGACATTGAGCGTTGCCATGACTACCACCTCCTGCTCGCCCCCCCACTGTCCTTGTTTACTGTTACATAACTGTCAGGATATGTAACCATGGCAACTGCAGACAAACTCAGAGGAGTCCTCCAAAGTACAGGTCAGAGTAGAACATTCAATCTGTGATCAATACGTGTGTGTGTGTGTGTGTGTGTGTGTGTGTGTGTGTGTGTGTGTGTGTGTGTGTGTGTGTGTGTGTGTGTGTGTGTGTGTGTGTGTGTGTGTGTACTCACGCAGCAGGTGCCACTCGTCCTGTTGGATGGTTCTGGTCAGGTTCAGAGGGATGTTCCTGAGTCTGACGGGCTGAGAGAAGTGATACTTGACAGCTTTGCAGCGCTGTGCAATACCTGCTGAGTCACACAGGTAACACACACAGTTTTAATGTCCAAACACACACATGCTGGTGTTTTCTACCTGCTGGGACGTAGCTGCTTACTCTACCTGGTCCCCACCTTAGGAGGGCTAACCTGGACTAGAACAAGAATCAACACAGCTAACAAGGACAACAGCAGACCAAGACAAACTGATATCAACCCTAACCAGGTTTTGTGTGTGTGTGTGTGTGTGTGTGTGTGTGTGTGTGTGTGTGTGTGTGTGTGTGTGTGTGTGTGTGTGTGTGTGTGTGTGTGTGTGTGTGTGTGTGTGTGTGTGTGTGTGTGTGTGTGTGTGTGTGTGTGTGTGAGAGAGATTCTAGTCCATCCAGGACACGAAAAACTAAATAATAAAGAAAAAAAGAGATGGGAGTGGTTCTCCTTCCCAAGACTCATCTGAGCTCTACAGGTTCTGTTCTACAGAGCAGGATCTTCAGATCCAGGATGTGAGATCCGAGTCAAAAATGAAAATTAAGCTCTGGGGTTCTGCAAAAGCTAGTTACCTAGCAAAACAGGTGAGCAACCAGAGGACCAATCATTGCCATGGATCAGCAGAGAAAACCAAACAAACATCCCAGACAGCAGCTGTTTGTTGCTGCTGCTTGTCCTCAGACCAAACATGAGCAGCTCTATTCTGATCTGGGTCCAGCCTAATGCAAGCTAATCAGATGAAACATGATGGAGCATAATGTGATTTAGAAAGCTATAATCTGATGTGCCAACAGCAGCCCAGAGGTCAGATCGTTTGGACTCTCAGGCTGCTGGAAATGCTGGCCAACGGTTTCTTCACCCAGTTTCTCTGAGAGGCTCTATGGAGCTCAGCCTGCTGGTCTCAGATCAGAAACGGGTTCATGCAACAGAAACCAGTCTGTGAATTCCAGATGGTGGCTCAAGTGGACAGGGCAACGATTGGAAGGTGCACAGTTCAATCCCAGACCCCAAGCAGGCCATGTGTGACCTTGCACTCGGTGGCGTACAACCCACTGCTCCTCAGGGATGTGTCCAACGCAGAGACACCATTTCCCTATGAGGACGAATAAAGCATCAATTACTATAAATATTATAAACCTGTAGAAAATCACAGATATGGCTGACCACATACAACAAAAACATGTTCTTCAACGAAAAACCTCAAGACTGGAAATCAGAGAGGGAGATAATCATCCAGCACCAACCAACCAATACAAATGGCAACCAATTAGTACAACCAACCACCAACCAGTACCAACTAACCAACCACCAACCAGTCCCAACCAAGACCAACTAACCAACCACCAACCAAGACCAACTAACCAACCACCAACCAGTACCAACCAATACCAACTAACCAACCACCAACCAGTACCAACCAATACCAACTAACCAACCACCAACCAAGACCAACTAACCAACCAGTACCAACCAATACCAACTAACCAACCAGTACCAACCAATACAAACTAACCAACCACCAACCAGTACCAACCAATACCAACTAACCAACCACCAACCAAGACCAACTAACCAACCAGTACCAACCAATACCAACTAACCAACCACCAACCAAGACCAACTAACCAACCACCAACCAGTACCAACCAATACCAACTAACCAACCACCAACCAAGACCAACTAACCAACCACCAACCAGTACCAACCAATACCAACTAACCAACCACCAACCAAGACCAACTAACCAACCACCAACCAGTACCAACCAATACCAACTAACCAACCACCAACCAAGACCAACTAACCAACCACCAACCAGTACCAACCAATACCAACTAACCAACCACCAACCAAGACCAACTAACCAACCAGTACCAACCAATACCAACTAACCAACCACCAACCAAGACCAACTAACCAACCACCAACCAGTACCAACCAATACCAACTAACCAACCACCAACCAGTACCAACTAACCAACCACCAACCAGTACCAACCATTACCAACTAACCAACCACCAACCAGTACCAACCAACCAACCACCAACCAGTACCAACCAAGACCAACTAACCAACCACCAACCAGTACCAACCAAGACCAACTAACCAACCACCAACCAGTACCAACCAATACCAACTAACCAACCACCAACCAAGACCAACTAACCAACCACCAACCAGTACCAACCAATACCAACTAACCAACCAGTACCAACTAACCAACCACCAACCAAGACCAACTAACCAACCACCAACCAGTACCAACCATTACCAACTAACCAACCACCAACCAGTACCAACCAACCAACCACCAACCAGTACCAACCAAGACCAACTAACCAACGACTACCAACTGATTAGTACCAACCAACCACCAGTACCATCTAACCAATAAATACCAGCTAAACAGCCAGCCAACAAACAGACCTAGCTCAGTATGGTGACAGAACCGCTGACACCACCAACCTTAACTCTCCTCAACAACAGGAAGTGTTTCACACCTGAGCAGCGGCGGAGGGATCTGAAAAGAAGACAGCAGCTGGACACCGTTTCCCAGAATGCTTCACGGTGACGTTTACTGCAGAATTACAGCATTGGGATGTTTTCACCCTCTGGTGTGATGTCAGCAGGTGCTGTCACTGCAGGAGTGTGTGCGCGCACGCACTCACACTTGTGCTGTAGAAAATTGTGTGAAATGGATATAAACATCTGTCAAAGTGTGTGTGCGTGTGCGTGCGTGTGTGTGTGTGTGTGCGCTGACCCCGGTCGATGAGCCTGTCGATGTCCGGGTCCAGGTCTTTGAAGAAGCACTCCCTCCACAGGCCGAAGTGTTTGGGGAACAGCGGCCTGCCGCACTCCGTCTCCAGGATGCCCATCCCCAGGATGGCCCGCCAGTTCTCCAGCAGCTCCTCCTCTCTGCTGCCCACATGCACGGGCTTCATCAGCGCCACATCCCGCTGCCGGGCTCCGCCGCTGCCGGTGTCCACCAGCGGCAGGTGGTAGATGGGCATCTCGCGGTTCTTCTGGTCGTTGGAGTCGGAAACGTCGCAGTTCTGTTTGTGTCTGCGGGTGTCGGTCTCATACCAGTGGTCGGTGAAGATGGCGGTGACCAGCAGCAGTAAGGACAGCGAGCTGAGCGCGAGGCTCACCGCGGACACCTTCACCGTGGCCGGCCGGGCTCTCTCCATGGCTGGGACATGGACCGAGCCGCTCCCACTCCCGTTACCGGAGCGGGTCCCGACGCTTCCGCTATTTCCGTTACTGGGCATCTTCTGCTGACATCCTCGCGCGCATCCTCGTCAGCTGTTCTTCGTTTGCCCTCGAGAGCTCGTTGTCATGCCGACTGACGGACTATCCGCGCTGCGTCAAGGTAAACACTGGTAACACTGCGGCGCCGGAAGTGCGCTTCCTTCAAAATAAAACGTTTTTACCGGAAGTACATCTTCCGGAAAAATGTAACACAGCACAGGTAGGCATGTTTACATCAAAAAGTGGTGTGTTTACAGAAAAGACAGGTGTGTTGCTCATTGCAGTGAAAGGTAGTTTCAACAGGAATGCTTACTTTTTATAGTGTCTTGAGAAGATTCTTGTTGTGACTTGGCACTATATCAATAAACTGAATTGTTTGTGTTTTATAGCAAAAACAGGTTTGCTCGCAGCAAAGACAGATGCTTAATTTAATGACTTCAAACAGCTGGATTAGGCCTTCTCCCACAGCGTTGACTCTTATATAAGCGAATCAGGAGGACCGTTGCTGCATTTCCTTGGAAACCAGGTGACCGTGGCCTTGTGGGAAATCTCAGGTGACTGCAGCTCTCAGCCTCTCAAAGGGAAATACGTAAGCTTGACTTTTCTGTTGATCAATAATTCAACATTCTCCCTGTTGGCTTCTGCTGCTTCCTGTAACACAACACCTCCTTCCCCCCTACCTACAGTCTGTCACCGCCAACCTGCAGATAACTACCTGTCATCATCAGATCTAATGAATCAGATGTTTTTACATGATCATTCACCGGTTAGCCTAATCACACACACACACACACACACACACACACACACACACACACAGCTTTGCTTAGCAAAACTGCCTCCAGATTCAGCATCATCTGACCTTTTAACACAACTCTTCCATCCCGTCGGTGCTCAACCAAGCTTCCCCTGATAGGGTCTGGTTTTCTACACAACACCTGACAGGAAGCTGCGTCTTCTTTCCTACAAATTTTACATTTTTACAAACAGAAGAATGTTGAAGAAAAAAAATCAAGAAAAGGTACAAACTGATCAACAGGAGAAACGTTCTGTCTAAAGCAACAAGAACTCATTGACACTTATATGTCCAAATAAAGTTTAAAGGGATTTTGATGTTAGATGAGGTGGACTAGGAAGATAATCCTAGCCCTACCAGTGTACACTCAGCAGCTCCAGCAAACTAAAGCTGAGGAATCAGACCAGGGGTCACTGGCCAGGATGGAACAAAGCAGAGGTCTAATTAACGCCCAGCCAGAGCCCATTCTCTCTCCGAGGTGTGAATATCCTCTCTATGATGTGATGAAACAGCAAGATGATAGAGGTCACTTCCTAAAAGGTGTGTGTGCGTGTTGGGGGGGGGGGGGGGGGGGGGGTATTGATCATAACAACCCATGGTCCATTAGTTCCCTGGTGTATGAGGAAGGTGTATGATATGAAGATTGCTGTAATGATGCTATTTGCTGGGTTCCTTATATAGGAAACTTTTCTTATTGGCTTAATGAACTGACCTGAATTGGAATGTTTATTATATGAAGTGCCTCGAGACGACTCTTGCCGTGATTTGGCGCTATATAAATAAACTTGAATTGAATTGAATTAAATTCATTTTAAATGAATTGGTGTACACTTGTTCCTGCAGACACATTAGAAACAGTATTGGTGTCTATCTACAAGGGAAACCAGTAAATAAGTTCCTTAGGCCTCTTCAAAATAAAAGCCTGACTGTTCTCAGTGTGTTATCTTCATCAGAGACAATAAAAGTCAAGATCAACCAACCAGTCTGATGTTTGACTTGTTTAGTGATCCAGCTGGTAATGGTAACATCAGAAATTTAGCTAGAGCGAGTAGAAACGTGACTTTCACCAGTGAATGATTTTCAACAATCTGAAGAATCTCTTGAAACAAAACGTTAATCCCATTATTCCTAACTTTGGTAATCCTAATCTTGGTAACCCTAACCCTGGTAATTCTAATCCTATAACCTCTTAGTTCTTACAGGGCAATGGGAGTGACGTAGCACAAGGGTCTGTTTTTGTCATTAAACATATGTCGAACTTGAATGAAACGTTTAAATCAAGTTTCTGTGAAAGGATACGTGGGATTAATTCAACACCCTGACTACTCAAACTGTCTTCTGGATCTGATTAAAATTCTTATCAGTCTCATCTGACAGAGTGTTTAAAGAGGATTTTTTTGTTTTCTAAATTAGCCTTGAAGCAGACATAAGTAGTTAAGCAAATAAGCATCAGTATTTTAGTTTATTTTCCTTAAATTGGGGTTCTTTGATCCAGTCAACATGTCCATCAGGGTTAGGATCAGTCAGAAAAAGAGATTTGCTGCTGTTATCTGCTTTCTCAGCTCAGCGGCCGTCTCAGTAAGAGGAGAAATAAAAGCTCTAAATTTATTCTAGTCAGCTAAAGGATGACGATCATGCCTTTGATGAGGCAGCAACAATCAATACAAGGACTCTTGGATGAACACATCCATCCATGATAACTGTGATTGCAAAACTCTCACTCTGTCTGCATTCTGAGCAGGTAACCTGCTGCTCACAGAGCTTCACTCAAGGTCCACTGAAGGTCGTCAGCTGCCGCAGAAAACACTACTGCAGAATCACCCTCAAGAAAACTGACTGAAACAGTCTGTCATCGAACCAGTATTACGTAAAACAGTCATCCAACAAGCACCAGATAAAACAGTCATTCAACCAGCACCACGTAAAAGTCGTCCAACCAGCACTACGTAAAAGTCATCCAGCCAGCACCACATAAAACAGTCATCCAGCCAACACTATGTAAAAGTCATCCAGCCAGCACCACATAAAACAGTCATCCAACAAGCACCAGATAAAACAGTCATTCAACCAGCACCACGTAAAAGTCGTCCAACCAGCACCACATAAAACAGTCATCACACCAGCACCACATAAAACAGTCATCACACCAGCACTACATAAAACAGTCATCCAACAAGCACCAGATAAAACAGTCATTCAACCAGCACTACGTTAAACAGTCATCCAACAGCACTAAGTAAAACAGTCATCCAACCAACAATATGTAAACCAGTCATCCAACCAGCACTACGTAAACCAGTCATCCAACCAGCACTACATAAAACATTCATCCAACCAGCACTACGTAAAACATTCATCCAACCAGCACTACGTAAAACTGTCATCCAACCAGCACTACCTAAAACAGTCATCCAACAGCACTATGTAAAACAGTCATCCAACCAGCACTACGTAAAACAGTCATCCAACCAGCACTATGTAAAACATTCATCCAACCAGCACTATGTAAAAGTCACCCAACCAGCACTAAGTAAAACAGTCATCCAACCAGCACTACGTAAAAGTCACCCAACCAGCACTAAGTAAAACAGTCATCCAACCAGCACTACGTAAAACTGTCATCCAACCAGCACTACCTAAAACAGTCATCCAACAGCACTATGTAAAACAGTCATCCAACCAGCACTACGTAAAACAGTCATCCAACCAGCACTATGTAAAACATTCATCCAACCAGCACTATGTAAAAGTCACCCAACCAGCACTAAGTAAAACAGTCATCCAACCAGCACTACGTAAAAGTCACCCAACCAGCACTAAGTAAAACAGTCATCCAACCAGCACTACGTAAAACAGTCATCCAACCAGCATTACGTAAAACAGCCATCCAACAGCACTACGTAAAACAGCCATCCAACAGCACTACGTAAAACAGCATTCCAACCAGCACTACGTAAAACAGTCATCCAACCAGCACTATGTAAAACAGTAATCCAACCAACACAGCGTAAAACAGTCATCCAACTAGCACTACATAAAACAGTCATCCAACCAGCACTACGTAAAACAGCCATCCAACAGCACTATGTAAAACAGCCATCCAACAGCACGACGTAAAACAGTAATTCAACCAGCACTACGTAAAACAGTCATCCAACTAGCACTATGTAAATCATCCATCCAACCAGCACAACATAAAACAGTCATCCAACCAGCACTACGTAAAACAGTCATCCAACCAGCACTACGTAAAACATTCATCCAACCAGCACTACATAAAACTGTCATCCAACCAGCACTACGTAAGACAGTCTTCCAACAGCACTATGTAAAACAGTCATCCAACCAGCACTACGTAAAACAGTCATCCAACCAGCACTACGTAAAACAGTCATCCAACAGCACTACGTAAAACAGCCATCCAACAGCACTACGTAAAACAGTCATCCAACCAGCACTATGTAAAACACTAATCCAACCAACACAGCGTAAAACAGTCATCCAACCAGCACTACGTAAAACAGTCATCCAACCAGCACTACGTAAAACAGTCATCCAACCAGCACTACGTAAAACAGCCATCCAACAGCACTATGTAAAACAGCCATCCAACAGCACGACGTAAAACAGTAATTCAACCAGCACTACGTAAAACAGTCATCCAACCAGCACTACGTAAAACATCCATCCAACCAGCACAACATAAAACAGTCATCCAACCAGCACTACGTAAAACAGTCATCCAACAGCACTACGTAAAACATTCATCCAACCAGTACTACGTAAAACAGTCATCCAACCAGCACTACGTAAAACAGCCATCCAACAGCACTACGTAAAACAGCCATCCAACAGCACTACGTAAAACAGCCATCCAACAGCACTATGTAAAACAGCAATCCAACCAAAACTATGTAAAACACGAATCCAACCAACACAGAGTAAAACAGTCATCCAACCAGCACTACGTAAAACAGTCATCCAACCAGCACTACGTAAAACAGTCATCCAATCAGCACTACGTAAAACAGCCATCCAACAGCACTACGTAAAACAGCCATCCAACAGCACTACGTAAAACAGCAATCCAACCAAAACTATGTAAAACACGAATCCAACCAACGCAGCGTAAAACAGTCATCCAACCAGCACTACGTAAAACAGTCATCCAACCAGCACTACGTAAAACAGTCATCCAATCAGCACAACGTAAAACAGCCATCCAACAGCACTATGTAAAACAGCCATCCAACAGCACGACGTAAAACAGTAATTCAACCAGCACTACGTAAAACAGTCATCCAACCAGCACTACGTAAAACATCCATCCAACCAGC